CCAAAGAAGAATTTGGGGCATTTTTGCTCTTTGAACATTCTCTTTCACCTTGTGAGCATTTCCTGGATGAATTCAGATTTACTAGAAGATATCAGCTAAGCAGGATGAGCAAACCAATTGTGACTCGTGCAAAATGTTTCTAAGAGCTGGATGAGTCAGATAACAGATCCACAGAGCAGAAGATATCTACCCCYGACAGCAGCCAACTGTCAAAGCTCACAGACAGTATGAAAACAGGTCAAGTATGGAGTCATATTTCTCCTAAATACTCCACCAGACCCAGTGGTTTGTGGCTCTGGGATTTCCTGAAGCAGAGATGCTGTGTCTGTGTGTAACAGACAGGGCAGACTATTCTTCCTGGTATTTCTTCAATAGGTTCTTGAACCCTATCATTTTAGTACTCACAGTGTCCTGTGGAAATAAGCTCCTCAGTCTTTGTGTGAATTGTCTCTTTCCTTTGGATCCTGGCACTTTCTAGGCCATTTTCTTTCCTTTTCAGTCTTTGCTCACTCTCTCCATGCCAACTTTTGCAATGAACCTCTAAGACAGAGTGAGCAAGTCCCATTCACTACTTAACCCCTGGTCTCCTTTGGAAAATGCTCTGATGTTTTCCTAGGGGATCTGTTAAGCGGGTGAACAATTTTTATCCCAGTACACTCACACACACAAGCATCACCTTTGAGAGTTTCCTCCCAGCAGCATTTCTGTATCACAAAAGGTACAGGATTACTACTGTAAGAACGAATGATTATCATCAGCTCAACTGCATCCTAATTTGCACCATTTTTCATCTGTTATGAGACACTGGTGGAGCTTATCTGARCTGCTGCTATCTGCTGGCATGCTGACTTTGCACAGGATGCAGAGAAATGGTGATTCCTCAGGTTATTACAATGACCCCATCTGTGCCTGTTTCTGCTCTTCTGCTCCAGATCCTACATGTCAAAGGTGAGCTGTTGGTCAGCCCAGAGGGAAGGACTGTTATCCTCCTTCAGTTCAGGGAGCTGGTTTAAGCACAACTCTGCACATTATTGTACTGGTACAGTGGAAAGGAAACAGTTCTGAAGCCATGAATAAGTGGTTGGGAGCAAGGAGCCAGAGGAATTTCTTTAATTGGCTTTTTCCTTGCATCCAGCACATTCTGAGCACTCTCAGCAGAGGGGAAGAGCTGGAGATGGCTAATAGCTCTCAGGCTTGCAATGCTCTGACTGGACACACATATGCATATCTCTTCACAAATCCCTCCACACTCTCATGTACATCCTTTCTTTGTTTTGACTGATTTATAAGTATGCTTGCAGCAGGACTTCTCCTGATTTAGAAAATACTGAATGAATTAACTGTATTTAACCCCTTCAGAAAAGGAAACTACCATGTTTCACAAAGCTTGGCTGATTGTTGGGGCAGCTCCATCTCATGCTTCCTCACCTCCTGCTAGTTSAGCTGAGCCTCTGGTCTCACTCTCCAGTTTCCCATTGTTCCTGTGCAGCTGGGAGAGGCTCCCAGGCACAGCTGTCCTTGTGGCATCACCAAAACCAGTTTTAATGGGGATAGCACTTAATCTGTCAGTCCTACAGATGTAGGGAGCAGAGCCCAGMAGCCCAGCAGTTTGCCCTGCTCACTAGGGTTTTGGCTTTTTTTTTTTTTAAGGTTTGGGTTGGAAGAGACCTTAAAGCTCATCTCATGCCACCCCCTGCCATGGGCAGGGATATCTTCCACTATCCCAGGTTGCTCCAAGCCACATCCAACCTGGCCKGGAACACTTCCAAGGATGGGGCAGCCACAGCTTCTCTGGGCAACCTGTGCCAGGGCCTCGCCACCCTCACAGGGAAGAATCCATTCCTAATATCTAATCTATTTGTTTCTCTGCACTGAGCAATCCTGTGAAGCCAACCATTTCTGCCTTGTCAGAGAACAAAAATGTCTTTCACATAAAACAAACAAACAAAAAAGACTCAGTAGAATCCATTAATATGTTACTAAATAGGACTTGCCTGCCCTCTCTGGTCCAGWGCTGAGGCTCCCAGAAGCTGTGCTGCTTTACTGTGTTTTCCCATTGCTTGTAGTGCACTTACTAGAATTCCTTGCACCCTGAGTGCAAAGTGCATGGACCAGCACCCACCATGGACATCCACAAATTTAGGATAAAACACACACATCTGCTTACACAATGAATTGAATGGGCTTGGTTCACAGCACCGGCCATTTGATCTGTGGCTCAGCTTGAGTGTGGGAGATACCAAAGCAGCTACAAACACCTCTCCCTTCTAGTAGCAGGTTTGTTCTGGTACTAATTTGAGGTCTCTGTGTACCTCAGACACTGGYTGGAAATAGCTCTGGATAAGACACACTAGCACTTGAGGATAAGTAGGAAGCRGCAGCCAAGATTGGATGTCAGGAGAGGCCAGGAGAGGATGTCATAAAAACCCTGTGCTGTTTGGAGCATTTTCATCCACAGGAATTCTTCAATAGTTGGCTCATGAAGTGTTGCAGCTGTCCCGTGCTGCTGGCAGGAGCAGCGTGGCCATGTGGAGTGTCCAGGCGATGGCCAGTGGGGAATTCCGTGTCTCTTCCTAACGGGACAGAGGAGGCTTTCAGCAGACACCACTGAAGCTTCACTTGGCACYTTACAAAGAGAAAAAATCTGCCCCTACTGCTTTGTCCTGCTTCCATGCTGCTCCGCTGTAAAAGGGATGGTGAGTCAGGACTCTATACAGCCTGCGAGCTGTAGGGAACCACTCTGCAAACAGTTTTTGCTCCAAGAAAAGCCTGTATGCAGCCATTGTGCCACAGACCCCAGGGTCTTCACCAGCCAGATTTTCTAACCGCAGATTCCAAGTCATTCCTCTCACATTAAAAAGTTTTTGCTCCACAGGGAGGGGAACTTTAATCTTCTCAAACAGATCAGCTTTTACAGGAGGCTATTTTAGGTGTTGATTCTGTAACAGTGAAGTTATTGGACAAATGAAGAACATGGCATATGCTGTCACTTGGAGCAATTTGCATTCCTCAGGTACTAAAAGCTTTAAATACTTCCTTTGGGCATGAAATAGATCTGCTGTCAAAGACGCCAGCATTCCTGAGAGTGCCTGTCCCACAGGGGAAATGTCTGCAGAGCTGAACTAGCCTGACCCCAGGAAATCCTTCCCACAGCTCTCATTCTTGCTCAGTTTCTCCTTTAAGTTTCATAATTTGCTGAAAGACCAGTGTGATGTTTGGTTATCCTCCTTTTCATGTACTTGCTTGGTCTTCCTCTTTTATATTAATACCACATTATAGCTGGGATATGAACCATGCAAGTCAGGAAGTCTGAGATGCTCTTTCAGAGACACTCAGTCAACATTGTTAATCACTTTTAAAAACTTCTCTTGTTGTCTTTGCTAATACACCAACAGCTCATTTCAAACTGGTGCTAAACACATCTGCACAGCCAGGTAAAGTCCCTCCAGGGAATCCTCACTTTTGTGCGCTTATTTTTGTCCATTTTAACAAAAACATCATACAGAGATCTCCAGTATCAATACCTTTAAGATTTATTTGTGTTTCCTTCCTGTTTTTTTCCCCCACACTATTACAGTAGCAGTGCTTTTATGCTTTACAATGATTTAAGGGCTTTTCAGTGCATTCTTGGTGTTGCTTTGGGTTCCAAAGTACATCAGCTGTTTTTTCACAGACAGAAAGAATGACTATTGTGTAACAGACTCTGTGTTTGCTCCATTCATAATTTCATTGGGGCRGGGTGGGAGGGGGTAACCTCTTCTTACTAAACTGGAATAGTAAAATTTGGAAATTCTGAGCTCAGTTTATGKTTTACAGGAATGTCAGAGTTCTTCATCTGCCCAACTGACATTTGAGCATGAGTACATGCTCAAATGGACTGGTCTGCTGGTCTTATTTCTGCCTCCATAAGAACATTTAGCTCCTTGTATACCTGGTTCCATCTCAAAGATGTCAATGTCTCCTAAAATTATTGCCAGTAATTTATCMTTTTCCCTTCCAAATTCACAAAAGGGGTAGACAGTAAATGCCTATTCTCTGCATCACTGGGTGCTAGCTGGTGCTGTCCTGGTATGAGTATTTTATTACACAAATGGAAATAAATCCATTTGGATTCATCAGACCTTCCCTCATACCCTTAGTGCAAACACTTGTGAATCAACAGCCCCAACTGCAAGTCCCCAGAACCCTGTGAGGAAAAATCACATTTTGACCCCACTTTGACCATATGCTCCATCTGGACAAAAGCTGACACCAAGGAATTTTTTTCTGCAGGCCAGACACTTGTTATTTGGGGAACTGAGGGAGTAATTAATATAGCTCTCTATAAAGCCAGCTTGTGACCACGCATGTTCATCAGAAGGCATATTCACCCCTTTTCTGAGTAGAATCACAAAGTAATTTGGGTTRGAAGKAACCTCAAAGRTAACCCAGTTCCACCCCCTGCCATGGGCCAGGACACCTTCCACTATCCCAGGGTGCTCCAAGCCCTGYCCAACCTGGACATTTCCAGGGATGGGGCAGCCACAGCTTCTCTGGGCACYCTGTGCCAGAGCCTCCCCACCCTCACAAGGAACAATTCTRTCCCAATGTCCCATCTAACTCTACMYGCTGCCCATAGCAAGCCATTCCCCCTTGTTCTGTCACTCCTTGCCCTTGTGTAAAGTCCCTCTCCAGCTCTTTTGAAGGCCCTTTAAGCATTGGAAGGCGCTCTAAAGTCTCCCCTGAACCTCCTCTAACCCAGGCGCAACACCTCCAATTCTCTCAGCCTTTGTACTGATGAATTAATGACTAACATGAAACAGCGAGGAGCGGATGCTGAAAACCAGCGAGAGTTCAAAGGCTGTTTTACGGACAGTRTGTGCTCCAGAAAAGAACACACTAGATGGAACACCCCTAAGGAAGAACCTTCAAACGGCAGCGGCTGCGGACTCCGAGATAGCGGCGGCGCTCCCCCCTCACGGCCGCGCCTCTCCCGCCTCCCCGGCCCGCCCCTCACGGCAGCTCCGGGGCTTCCGCGGGGCCTCGGCAGGGGCTGCGCGCGGCCCGCCCGCGGCGGGAACGGCCCGGCAGGTGCGTGAGGGGAGCCCGGGAATGGCCGGGGACAGCCGGGAATGGCCGGGAATGGCCGGGAGCGACCGCGAGTGACCGGGGACAGCCGGGAATGGCCGGGGCGGGCGGAGGAGGGAGCTCGGATTTCTGGGAGTCGGCCGCGGCGCCAGCAGCGCCCGAACGGGCCCGGCCGGCCTTGCCCAGCACTACCGGGCCCGCCCCCGCTGCAGACCTGGATTCCGCTCCAAATCACGAGCGTCCTCATCCAAAACGGAGCGTAGTTCTGCTGTTAGGGCTTTTTTTGGGGGGGGAGTTGGCATTGCTCGTTGTTACCTTCATTGTTCTTTACAGAAGGATGGGTTTAAGTTTCATCCCAAAAAAGCTCGAAATGCCCGGTAGGGAGTAGGARCGAGGACTTGAATTGCAAGGAAATGAGATCCCCAGCACTCAGTAAGGTATAAATAAAATAAAAGCATCCCTTTTGCCATATTTTTGAGATACAAGGATTGCCCATAGTGTCGGACTCCTGTCTGGAGAAATTGACTCCATATTTATATTAATGGTTATATTAGCTCATGCCTGCACTCTTCATTCAAGGGKTTTTTTCCTGCTTCTTGCACTGTTGTCCAGGAAACTATGCATTATTAACTTCTGGTACTAGTAGGATAGACTAGACAGGAAAGGCAGAGAGACATCATTCATGTGGAGAACTCATTGAAAGATTTGCCTTAAAATGTCTGTTTAAGAGGTTATGGAGCAAATAGACAGGAATAACAGGCAGCAATAAGTTGCCAAACTGGTAGAAACAAGGAATAAACTGCCAAACCAGATGCAGCCCTCAGGGATGATGTTCTAATGATGGTCACAGCAGCAAATGTGTCACTAATTTTTAAAGAGGATTTTAGGGGAAATCCAAGGTCTGCAGACCTGGAAGTTTGACCAAGWGAATTAGTAAAAAATACAGAAAGATAGGATTATTGTACAGCTGCATAAATATCTAGGGTGAAAAATTACGGGTTAAAAGTCATGCCTGAAAGTATTCTTGAATTTTCTGCAGGTCTAAATAAGCATGTTGAGAAGTCTGGCTCACAGTCTGTACTGAGACTTCAGGAAGGTTTTAAACAGGAGCCCTCACCTGAGCAGCCCTTGACATAATAAGGGAGTTTCCCTGTYATAAATACGCAGTTATTGCAAAGATAGGAAAGAGGATGTGAGTAAATGGGCAGCTCTCCAGGTGACTGGAGGTCAGCATTGGGGTGCTGCAGAGATGGTTTGCAGATGACATGGAAAATCGATGTTTCCAGATGGCTTTGCATTATTTGAGGTAGAGAAGAGGGCTGAGGGTGATGAAGCACAGGTATAAACTGATTCATATGGGTGGGAAGCAGTGCAAATTTCTCACACAAAATGAGGGATTTTTTTKGGCAGTAATAACTGATTCTGTGAAGTTTTCTTCCTTATTAAAGTGCCCACAGGCTCAGGGATGACTGTGCCTGGGTCACAATGCTCCAGTCTAGAGACATGGAGGATGCGTGGAGAAGCACTTTGTGCTTATTGTGTTCTTCTCCTGCTCCTGACCTGGGCTGGAGAGCAGGATACAGGGAGGGGTATCCTTTGGTCTAACCCAGCATTGACCCAGCATGTATTCCCATTTAAAATCTGTACAGCTGGGAATTGGTGTGAGGAATTATCTCTCCAGAAGTGGCAGTGTTTTTATGTACACTTTCCTCATCGTTCTGTCAGAAAAATAGATGTGCCTGAGGTAGGTTTTGCAGGTACCTAGAACTAGGAGCCAAAARTATATGCAAATTGCTGGTGGGATTTTTTTTAACCTCCTTTTCATGAAAACTCATTAAATACCTAAGGAAATGCCTGCAAATGCAGTGTTGTTAGAAGGATTAAATAAGTTGTAGACTCTTGTGCCTGGACTACAGGGTGTATCTGCTGCTGAGTTGGGTTTTACACAGATTTGCAGTGTCTTTCCAATTCTGGCTTGCAGGGTCCTGAACCACTTGCCTGAGATTAGCCCAGCAGCCCTGAACACTCCAGGCACTTGTGCAGACTGATTCAGCTCTTGATCTTCCTTTTCCGACTTACATACTTTTTATTTTTTTTTTTTTGGACATGTTTACCCAGATGTGCTTAACAACTTGTAGTTAATTTGGTTACAACAGGATTAGYAAAAAGTGATTAAACCCACAGCTGATTATTTGAGGCCCAGGAGTAGAATTTGTTTATTATACAAGCAAGAAAATCTAGATAGAAATGAAGAGCTGCAGAATTTGTCTGTAGACTTACAGAAGAGGTTGTGTMTGTTGCTTCCCAAATGCACAGGGCTTGSATCCATRGTATGTGTTGCCTTCTACAGTGTGKTTTTTTWATAGGCAAGAAGGGATTTGYATTTACAAGCAACATCCCTTCCAGAARGTGTTGATAGGCTTTGAGGCAGAGTTTTGTGATTCAAATCTTGCTATGAAGCAGGGAGATGGGATAGTATGGGGKTTTTTTTCTGGATTTCTAAGCTGGTATTGCAGCCCCTCATTGTGCACTCACRTTTCTGTACATGACCCATTTCTCCTGGCTAGAAGGCAGTTTCCTGCTGCAGTTTCTATTGAAGATGCTGAGATGTGTCAAGGATCRGCCCATAGCAATGAAGTTTCAAGTGCCCTGAGGCTGTTGCTGTAACATGTCTGTGAGTGCACTTGCAGCTTTTAGCAATTATTTAATTGGAAGTAGGTGCCAGGCAGCTCAGATCCTGTTTCTGATGTCGCATTCCATAAGAGCACAAATTACCAAATGAGTTGATGCTCTTCTCRAGTCAGCCATGTTTGCAGAGTGTCTTTATGTGTGGCTGATGAGCTGGAAGTTCCAGTTAATACTGTCAGAGAAGTCTGGAGGTATTGTCTTCAGTGGGAATACTGCCTTGACTGAGTGTTTTAGAGGGTCAGTCTCAAATGGTGAAGTGTTCCTCCTCTGGTMCTTCCTTCCTGCAGCACTTTCTCCTAGACAGGACTCACTTGCCAGTGCCACCAGGCAGTTATGTCTGGCTGGTGACTTCTGGAAACATGTTTAATTCCCACAAACTGAAAGCCACAGTTCAGAGCAGAGTACCTGACACCACTTAATTATTGCAATGAAGAGTTAAGTGTTTAGAAAAAAAGTAGAACCATCCCACCTCTCTGCTGGTCATGCCAATGTGATTTTTTTTTCCCCTGCCTATTTTTATATGTTTGTGTCTGGATTCTTCTGAAGTGAAACATAACAATGTTGGGGAATTAGCACTGCTGATTCAGATTGTAGCAACGCTGAATTTGTTTCACTGTAGTGAAAAGAAACTGTTGCTGGTGCAACTTCCATTGTGAGAAGCATCTGAGCAAGATAAAGAGTGGTTTTAATATTGAAAGTTTTTTTAGTAATTTTTAAATTTTGATAATCTGGTGAAAAATGAGTGGCAACAGCTAATTACTTACGTATACTTCCTTGCAGGTTCACTATGTATGGGATTCTTTCTCCATATCTAATTCTGTATGATGTTGAACCTTTGCTTCTTTTCCCTTACATCCACGTGTTCCATTTTAGAACTGAGGTCTTTGCGTTCTCTTGTAAAAGTCCTTTTTTTTGGGGCTGACACTTTCCAAATTAAGTGCTAATGGGGGCATTTTAAAAGTTTAGTTTCGGCTTGCCTTGTATTGAGTGTAGGAAAAGCTCATTCCCCACTGTATAACAAAGGCCAAAGAGCATCTCCAGCACTGCTTTTTCTGGACCAAGCAAAAATTGCAAATTGTTCTGGAGCTTGATCTAATGGAGCACTGTTGGTATCACATCTCCATTATATGCTCAGAATCTCCTGGCCTGTTTCAAAGCACTTGATACAGTGAATAAATGCTTGTACCTGTTCAATAGGTAAAGGACTACAGCACCAAAAACGAAACACCAACTTTTTGGAGCTCACATACTAAAGTGGTGACAAACCAGAAGAACAATTGCAGGAGATGTAGTTGCCTCMGTTTCAGCTGTTGACTGGAACAGATGCTCTTCATGTTTCTGGTAGGTTGAGTCATTTTGGGGAGATTCTAACACAAACATTTCTACAGCACAATAAACAAATTTGTGACTGTGAATAGGGCATCTCTCAACTTCCTGTGGAGGTTTAGGTTCTGATCCAGTTACATTACTTTTGAAAATGATTGATACATAACTTCTTTGTGCTTTCTGAGGCAGCACAATTTTTGAAGTGGTTATTTTCTGTTTTTTCTATATGCTTGAAAGATTATGCTAGTTTTTGGTAAAAAGTACACAGTACTGGTTCATCTTGGCATTCAATTTCTGAATTTTCCAACCTAAGAGCAAACTTAGTTTCAATGCTTAGTGGAGCAGAGTTGTTTTTATCTGCAGTCTTTACAAGATGAATTGCTCAAACTGCTGTTTTCTGTTTGCTCATCAGTAGAGCCCAATATTTGCCCAGCCTGGTGCAAACATGGCTAAATCTGTCATCTGCTGCTGTAGTTTGCATAGGTTGTCCATGTAGTCGTAGCTGTCAGATTCATTGTTGTGGAGAGGTGCGTAAAAACAGAAGTTTGTGGAAATAAGGTGCTTTTAAATAAGCTTCATAATCCTAATTATGCTTCTATCCATTTTCCAGAACTATGCCAAGAAAAAGAAAGCTGTTGGCTCAATTAAGTGCTCTTCAAAGCAACTCCAGCTTCCCTCAGATTGATGCCTTGGAGAACCTGAACRCTACGCCTGGAGCAGATCTTTCTCCAAAAAGCAGCAAATATTTTATGATAGAAAAAAAAAATTCTTCWCAGCTGCAAGCAGATTTTTTCAACCAGCCCTGTGTTAGTCTGGCCAAGTCCTTTCTGGGGCAGGTAAGACATGAGCACTGAGATTCTTGTACTGGAGCATGTGCTAGCTAATAACTTGGTGTAAAAGGATGAAATTCTTCTTTTGCCATTTGACTCCCAGGCTATTTTAGGAATATAGCTCTCATTCCTTCTCTTGCTMAGTGCAGTGGAATTTAAAGACTAGTAGCCAAATCTATTCTAGATGAGGTCAGAGGAGTAATTTTTCAGGTTTAGTGTGTCACATTTTTTAATTAGGTTTTTTTTTGTGGAGTTTTTCTCCCTTTTGTCTATTTACTAAAATGTACTTTGCTGCTTGTGGTTTGAAGGCTGTTTCAGGCCCATGATTTTCCTTTCAGCAACTGCTTTACTTGTTTTTGTTTCTTGCTTAGCCCAGTGGAAAGTAATGCTCTGCAGTCAGCAACATCTTCTCTGCCTCCATTTTAYTGTCTTGTTATGCTAAGGATTGCACAGTCCCACAGTTAAACTTTCTTCACTCCAAATATTGTTATTCCTATCTTTTGTTTCTGAGTTTCCAAGTCATTACCTGTTCATGCAAGGACTTCTCCCTTCACCCATTGCATAAACTTTGAGGAGTCTTTAAATCTTGCTGAAAGCCTTTGGAAGTAGGAGTGGTGGAGATTAAACATGTCTCTAATGCTTGGTGGGTCCTTCAGCAAACTCTCTGGCTGTTTCCAGGGGAGGGAGCTCCCTCAGTGTTTCACCTGTAGAAAGTTCCAGTCTAGGATCTTCTAAATGCAACTGCAAAATGTATGTTCAGTTCACTGCTATGGTCTTATCTTCTCAGAGTCTTTTTAATACCTTTATTGTCTGCARTGTGAGTAGACTCTCTGGGTTCTCATGGTTTTAGATAACTTCAGGAATTTGTTCCACAAACTGTTGGTTTTGGCCTGTTTTGCTGCGTCCAGCTATTTTTTCTTTTCTAGGGATATCTTGCCTGTAACTGACGCCTTTGCTCTGCTTTTTAGCCCTGCTGGGTTTCTTTCTGGTCTGCCTTAACCTCTCTCTGTGATATTCCATGTGTGTTGCTATCTTTACAGACATCCTGCTAGAGGTTTGCCTTTTTTCCAGTCTTAACCTTTGGCTGCCTCTTAAGTTCTTCCCAACAAGCTTCCTCACTTTACATAGTTTCCTCTTTTTGCTGGTAGGCAGAACTCTGATAGATTATTTTTGGACTTTAATGCCTGTGAAAGGACACTGAACTTTATCCTTCATGGTCATGATACAAAGTTGTTTTCCAGGGATAAGTCTTTGGAAAAGACTGTGTTTTGCTCCAGATCTGAGAGCTGAGTCTTTTCTCGTGAGATTCCTGATTCCTCGTTCTGCACAACATTTGATGGTGTCTAAGAAAACATTGCCCATGTCCTGCTCTACCTAAGGATACCTCAAGTCTCCCATTACTGATGCATTTTTGTTGTCTTAATGACTTCATCACCCTTATCCATTCAGTTACTCTGGAAAGATGATATTTGAGTCCTAATTCTATATTKTGTCTATTTAGGCCTRGTATTACAAGCCAGGCAATTTCTATCTTAATTCTTCATTTTCTTTAAAGYATGACCACCAGTCTCCCATGACACAACCTATTCTCTCATAAAGGTTATTTAGTGTTTCATTCATTATCTTCGTTCTATCAGATTTTGGAGGCATCTGGCACATTAATTTTGCTTTCCTTCATCATACCTGAGTTTTTGGTAACAAAAAAATACCCCAAAAGATACATGCAGTAAATGGCCTCTCAGAGGGAGCTGCCATAACATCAAGATACATCCTCAATGAGAAAAATAACCTTTAGGAAATCATTTACTGTGGGATTTATCACCATTTTAAACCTTTTTATTCAACAGAATATTGGGGGTGTCTGAAAACAGGGAAATGCCTCTATGCTTTTAAAACCATAACCTAACCATTGCATTTCATCATACTGAGGGAGAATTCTGGTCACAGGGATCTGGGTTTGGGGTATTTCAGAGGCATTTGCTGAACACCAGTGTTTTTTTTCATTAAAAATAATAAACTGATTATTTTCAACAACTTGACAAGTGCTGTAGAGAAACCATGATACACCAGAGCTGCAGCTTTGGAAACCAACTCATGGAGAATTCATACTGGATCAGATCAATATCTGCATTAGCAACCCAGCTTAAACATCTGTTAGGAATTCAGCTTTGTTTTTCTGAAGGTCATTTTTGAATGGCTGGATGAAAGTGCTGGATAATTAAAGCATTATAATTAAACTGATAGCTGGTGCCCAAATGAGCCTGTGCTGCAGTATTTCATACACATTAAGTAAAACACAWAGTTTAAAAATCAGGTCAAACCACAAATTCCTTTGTACAAAGTTTAGTGGTTTTATTTTTAAAGAGAATCTTTTCGCGGCCATGTTTTGTTTCCCCTGCATCTGCTTTGTTTTATTTAAGGAGGTACCAGCAGCAAGGAACACACTGTAATAACAAAGATCTGTTGTTGTCTGCCTGAAGCCAATTCCCAGCTCTCCTGCACTGCCCTTCTCTGTGGTGCAGAAAATACTGAAATAGCATCAATGCTCTCTCTAGTGCTGATTATCTCTGTGATTTGGGACTGGGACTTGTTTGAAACATCTCTAGGGAGAGAAACTGTCTAATCATAGCAGTTATTTAATTGTGCCTCTGTCATATTTCTTCTGATCTAAAGATTATACATTCATGATGCTTCAAGGTTAATATCAGTGGTGATTTCTGCCTTAAACCTGATGCATTGGAGTGGAGAATACAGAAAATAACCACAAAAGCAACTCTGTGGGCTTTAGTGCCTGTAGGATCATAAACTGGTTCTTTTTGATCCTGTCTCATCTAGACACTCCAGGCATTTTGTGGGRTGAGGGACAGGTAGGAACTCCTTGTACTGGGCTGAGGCCTGGGCAGTGGAAGCTGAAAAAGTTGGTGTTAGCTCACAGACTAAATGGACAGGATTTAGACCAGCAGGTCCTTTCTTTCCAACTTCTGTGTTTCCACAGCTCTTGCTCTGCTTATTTTGTACCGAGGGCTGGTAACTGATGCACYCTGACCTCTCTTTCAGATTTTAGTTCGCAAACTTCCTGATGGCAGAGAGCTCTGGGGCAGGATTGTTGAAACAGAAGCTTATCTGGGTGGGGAAGATGAAGCTTCCCACTCGAAAGGTGGGAAGCAAACACAACGAAATGCAGCAATGTTCATGAAACCAGGAACTCTGTACGTGTATCAGATCTAYGGGATTTATTTCTGCATGAATGTTTCCAGCCAAGGTAAGCTGAGGCTGAAAGAGATGGCATGCCAGCAKCAGGGGGCTGATTCAAGCTACAGTGGTGCTGCAGTCACTTGTGAGCTCTCTGTGGGCTCTCTGATGGCTGTGACTTGTTGTCATGATCATCCCATGGGACCTGGGCTTTGCCACTGTGACCAGGGTGTACCAGGGCCCATCTCCAACTTCCCAGTTTGTCCCAGCTGTGAGCTGTGGCAGCTGTTCAGGCACACAGAAAATGAGACTGGGGTTGAATCTGGATAGGAGGGAGCTTTCAGTTTTGATCACCTCATTCATGTGATTCAGTAAACTTTGTTCCTCAAAAGTGGTGATGTACAAGAAAAATTCAGACTCATTAATGACAGCCTAGGTCTTGGTGTCTGTTGCCATGGCAAGAAACTCCTCTGTCTCCTGCCTTCAGAGGCTGAATGAAATGTTGGGGAAAACAAAAAGATCTGAGATGTCTTAGGTTTAAGCAAGGAATCAGTAGGAGCATTTTAGCTGTTTGGCTGTATCTAAAAGCCAAWAAAAGCCATCCAAATCAAAATACCCAGACTGTTACAGAACCTTCAGTGTTCTTTTATTATTCTAAAAATAAAATAATCAAGCTGTAATTAAATTATTCTAGAATTTATTGAGACTGACCTTCCACTCTTCAAGACTCTTAACATGTTACTGAAAACTTTCTTTTTTTCCTTTCTGTCAGAGTGACAGTATTTGCCTTGCAATGAAGCTGTTTAATTAGACATCTTGAAATGGCAGCAAGTGTTTCCTAGGTAACTCCTCACTCTRTTAGAAAAAATCTCAAACCCAATTTACTTTCTTTTTCACCATTTTGAAGATAAATGTTAAAAAATCCCAGTGCTTGTATATTCCTAAGTGGAAAGCAAATGGAAGTGTGGCCATTAATCCTYAGGTTTTGGCCTTTGGAGAGGAGCCAAGCAGAAGAACAGTGCCAGGTTATAGTGTGGGGGTAGAGCCTGACTTTCTAAATGGGGATCTGGGTGAACACATGTGAGCTTCATTATATTGGCTCTGCCAAATCTGTTCAGATAATGAAAGCACATAGTTCATTTGTAAGGGTGGGATTCATAGCATTTGAAATATTAGGAGTAATATTTTTGATTTTTGAAAAATATTATTAGCCTTTGAAAACTAGGAAGATTCCTTTGACATTCGCACTTTGGGAATTTTTTCCTTATATGCCTGTTTTTAGATTTGTAGTAAAACAATTAAAGAGCTCCCTGTGGTGATGGAGTTGATAGGATTTTTTGTTACAAACTCCCTCCCCATCATCCTGTCACACATGCAGTGACAGCAGGCTCAGCTATCACTGCCAGAGCACTGCAGTCAATACCATGGCTGTGCACACTGTGCATCACCCATGCAGCTACACAAACAGGAGCTGCTCCTTCTGTGTATTTGCCCACATGCAGAAGTGTTGAAAGAAAGATGGGGAGGAATCATACCTGAGATGCTTCTCTGCAGTTAGATGGAGGAGGAGTTGTTTAATTGTGCTGYTGTGCTGTTGTTTAGTCTGAGGGAAGGATTTAGGGAGTCAACTTCATGGTAGCACCTGGGTAGAAGGCAAAAGCATTTCATTCTCTGGATACGGGACAAATCTTGGAAACTTTGTTTTGACTGGCTGTGCAGAAAACACCAGGAAACACTGACCAAAAAAACACCTGTCTGTTAGGGCTTAGCTTGGTCCTACTTCATAGCACAGACCATGAAAGCAAATAGCTCCAAGAGCCAAGTGTATCCTCTGGAGCAGTGGCAGATCTGACTCCTTAGGAATCACTTGTTTTGATACACAACCTCATAGTCTGTAACTTTGGGTGGAATAAAACTTCTCTGTTTTCTGTATTGCTTTATGCTGGAGTTCAGGCTCCAGTATCACTCAGGGATAGGAAGAGTGTATCACCAGCAGCATTGTGYTCAWAAAATCAAAATTATTGAGGGGCAGGTGCTCCAGTATATTTTGTCAGTGAGGAAGGGAAAATCTTTGTGGATGTAACYGAGATAAAGCTGCATCGTGGAATTTTACTGTGAGAGGTCTTCCCATCACTGAGTGAAATACTGCAGCTGCCTGAAGCCACAGCAGGCATCACTGCATTTGGAGAAATCATGGATGGTAGAGAGAAGAGCTTAAAAAAAATACAGCCAAAGTCTTTTAATGTGCATGAATCCAACAGTATATCCTGAGCAGCACAGTAATCTTAGCACTAAGAGCTTTCCCTAGAGTTAAGAGGGATATTGGGCTTCCTTTGCCTCCGGAAGAGGATAAGTGCCAGTCATGCTTCTCTTTGACTTAACTGTGATCTGTTTCTCTGGAATTTGCCATGGTCTGTATTTTGCTGCCAGATCTGAAAGCACAACTTGTAAAATTGAGAGCCCAGTGATGCTCAGCCCAGGATCACACTGCAGGGACTTCTCCCTAACCTTCAGATCTTAGACTAGGACTTTGAAGGAAGTGTTTGGGGAGCACTGAGTCAGGCAGGTGAAGGRAGGAGAAAATTCTCTCCAGGGGCCAGGAGCTGTTTCCAAGGCTGGGAGCTGGAGCTGTTTCAGGGTAGGAGCAGGAAGCTGTGCTGTGGGGGTGTGGGACTCCACTATCATATTATGATTTCTGGCTGCTCAGGGAGAGAATTGGCTCTGCAGTGTTGTTAGATCTCAGTTTTCAGCTCTGAATTCTGCTCATTATATGGAGAGRCTCTTAGCAAGAGAGATAAATACTCAGCATCTCCAACTGGCCCTGCTGCTGCTGCTGCTGCTTGTGTATCTATATTGGGCAGATGCTGAACGCAAGTGACCTCTGAGAGTGAACTGCTGCAGGCTGGAAGGGGGAGGAATCTGGACTGAAGCATTCTGGAGTTGAGTCCGAAGGATTCAGCTACTCTTTGGGAGTTAAAATGAAATTTCTAATGTGGAAGTATGCTCAGGATGACSCAGGGGTGTGAGGGAAAGAAGGCAGTAGCTTGTCATGGCATCCCCATGCTCTTGTCCTGCCTGCTGTCTCCTCCTCCCAAGGCTACTGACTGGGCAGAGTGTGGTGTCTGTTGCCCACAGCTAGAAAGAACATGGAAGCTTCCAGATGGAAATGCAGAAAGAGCAGCCAGAAACAGAAATTCCCAGTACCCCTTGCCTGGGCTCTGTGATGCTCTGGGAGCACCTGCAGTTTTCCAAGAGCTCATCTCTATTCACGTGAACTCCCAAGGACTCAGTTCAGTTCAAGTGTGACCACAGTTTCCACTTGCATTTGAGATGGATGAAAGCAAGCCGTGTAATTAGTGATTGCTCAGAATCCCACAGTTGTTCCTGGCAGGGGAGGCAGCAACATGAWGTGAGGGATGTTTCTTTGTACATCAATAAAAAGCAGAATTAGGACATGGAACATGTTCTTAAAAATCTAAAATGACCTTTGAGCTCTAAATCACTGTTAGACCAGGGAAGCAGCTTTTGGCTGCCAGATTAGCATCAATCCCCTCCTTGGAGAAGGGAGTGCCTGGGAACAGATTGCTGACAGCTGTTGGAATTCAGGCTGCTGACTTCACCGAGCTGTAGTGGGGGCAGCAGGGGCTCTGAGAAGGTTCAGGGCAGCAGGCACACCTCAGAGAGCCAGGAACCAGGACCTCACCGGGAGACCAGAGGAGTAATTTAGTGTGGGATTTGTACAAAATATGAGAGGGACGCTATTTTGGGAAATCACAGGTCCTTAGGGATTTGTGCCTACAAAAAAAGCCTTTGCCAGGCATGAGCRTGGCTCCAGATGTTTGAGGCTGGAGAGGGAGAGGGGATTCTTGGGGAGCGGCAGCACACGGATGCTGGTGGGAGGGAAGCTGTGGGCGGCCGGCACAAGGACAGCTGCKTGGGGCTGCACACAGGCCCTGTGCCAGTGCTCTCCTCACCCACTCAGGCCAGGAGACCTCCCTGCAGTCCACTGGAAAGTACCAGGGAAACATTTCTGTCTCAGGCTGCAGATYCTTGTCAGACAGGGAATGTCTGCTCAGAGCTGCATCTTTGCTTCACTCTCACCTGGCTGGAACAGCTGGGAGGGCTGGAGAACTACAGCTCCTGACAGGGTGGCAGATCACATTTGAGGAAAGAATTTGTCAGTTTTCTCCAGTTTTTGTCATAGAAAGACCTCTGCTAAGTGCTGCTCCCAGGGCTGTGCATCCCACAGCCAGATTGTGCAGCCCTGTCCTGCCCCAGATCCATGCCTTGGGAGAGTTTCCTTGGCACGAGGGTCCAAATCACTGTTAGAGCTGTGCAGTTACCCAAGGCCACACTCATCCCACCCAGTACAGCTCCAGAGGGAGTTTGGATTGGTACCACTTGCAGCCCAGGCAGCAGCTGCTCCCAGTGCCTGCAGCCCCTTCCCAGGTTTCTYTTTGTCCAGCCTCACTCTGCAAGCTGCCTCTTTCTGCTGGCAGCATCCAGACTCATTCCTCCTTGCCCTTGTTAGCTGGAGTTCTTGTAATCAGAGTTTATTAGAAATCCACTGGGTTTGGGAGCAGCTTTGGACAGCGCTGCCAAAACCRAACCAGATGTGGGTTTATTTCTGAACATTGTGCTGACATAACAAAAGCCCTCTGGCAAGCCTTGGAGCAGCAGCCAGACTTAGCAACATCAGGTGGGGTTGGGAGGAGCAAGGCAGCACTGCAGAATGAAGGGCACAGAGCTGTGAATGAAGGGCACTGGACMTTTGGAGGAGAGAAGGGACTGCACYTGGAGCCAAAGACAGGCCCCATGGTTGGCAACTCCAGCCAGGCAATTCCATGCTCATCGGGCTGAGCAACAGGCTCAGAGCTGAAGTGCTGCTGGCAGTGGGCTGAAAACTGAAGCATTCCCAAAAGAATGACCCTGTACTAACACCCAGCTCTTGYTCTGCAGGGGAAGGGGCTGCAGTGCTGCTGCGTTCCTTGGAGCCCCTGCAGGGCTTGGATGCCATGAGGGAGCTGCGCAGGGCCTCCAGGAAAGCACCCACCAAGCTGCTCAAGGACTGGCAGCTCTGCAACGGGCCCTCCAAGCTCTGCCAGGCRTTTGGCATTGACAAGGCTTTTGACCAAAGGGACCTGACTCAGGATTCTGCCATCTGGATGGTGCCTGGACAGGACCTGCCCGGGGAGCACGAAGTGGTGGCCACCACCAGGATTGGCATTGGCAACAGAGGAGAGTGGGCAGAGAAACCACTCAGGTTTTATTTACGAGGAAACAAATTTGTGAGTGTCGTAGACAAGAAAATGGAGCGAGAGATGGCAGCAAGGGGRCACTCCCCTTGCAGCTGACAAGTCTTGCAAGTGTCCCACGGAACAGGACTTGAGCTGCGCTCTGTACAATGGCCTCAAGCTGCATCATGGCAGATAGAGGGGCCTGGGGGGGKTTTTAATAATAAATGTACTTTGTCACAATGAATGGGGCCTGGTGGAGTTTTATTTGCAGAAGACTGGCATGGCCTCCCAGACAGAACTGAGACTGGTTTTGGACACGGAAGGCCACTTTTCCTGTGCCAACGGATCCAGGCTTTATCAGGGTGGGTGAGAGGAGGAGCTTCACAGCTCCGAGCTGCTCCCATCATCTCAGCCCCCAGCAGAGGCCAGTGCTTGGTTGCTGGGGGGAAATAGTCATAGAACTGGATGGCAACAGAGCAGACTGAAAGGATGGGAGCTGGGAAAAGAGGTTGTAAAGGGGGGATCTCACTGTTGTCTGCAGCAGGCTCAGGGGAGAGTGTCAGACAGGATGAGAGGCAATGGGCCACCAGCTGGAAAACAGGAAGTTCTCATTAGCTCTGTGGAAAAAAATTTCCCCATGAGGGTGGTCAAACACTGGAACAGGGCCCCAGAGAAGCTGTGGGTCATTCACACCTCCACAGGACAGGCTCCAGAGTGACCTGATCTAACACCTTTCCTTTGAGCAGAGGTTTGGACTGAAGACCCCTCCCAACCTATACCCCTCTGTAATGTCCAGCCTGGAGAACAAGAATGGGTTTTGTTCATTTGCACATCTGCTTTAGAAACCAGTTCAGAACTTACCAGTGTGTGAACCCCCACACAGAAAACACTGGAGCAGCAGCCTGACTTGAGCAGGGGAAGAAACCCTCTAGGACTCAGGGCAAGACCTGGAGGACTGCAGCCACTCTGGGTGGGTGACACACCCCCCACCTCAAGGTTCACATAGAATAAAAAAGCTCACGTTTTTAAAAACTCTCGTCCCCATCCCATGAAAGAATTGGCCCCTTCTGGCACCCTTTGTTGTGCTGATTTCAGTAGCTCACCTTGATGCTCAGGTGCTGGGGATGGTTGAGACAGGGCCTACAGCAATGTTGATCTGTTTTTTAGGTCAGATACAGTTTTTGCTTTTCTCTGCCATCCCTGTGGCAGCTGCAGGGCCAGACTCCCTAAGGAGAGCTGAGGAAGCCGTCATGGGGCAGCTCCACCAGCACCTTGGTGCTGTAGGGTAAATCAGCTAAAGCTCCCAGTTTCACCCAGTGTGTGTGGGCAAATGAAGCTCTCCTGAGAGCCTGTGGCTCTGGGAGAAGCTCCAGCTGCTGTGTGTGGTGTAAGGGAAGGTCTTGAGGAGCCTGACAATCTTTTAACAACAAACCACCACACCACCAYGGAGGTAAAGCTCTCCCTCTGTTGCCCTGGCTATGCAGCACAGAGCAGTGAGCAGCTGTGGGTAACAGTGGCCTCACACAGGCAGGGGGGAGCTGGCACAAGCTCCTGCTGTCCCCAGGCCCAGGGCTGTCACCTGGTCTGGCCCTGGCATGGCTGGAGGAGCAGTCCCAAATCAGAGCAAGCACAGCCCTGCATCTCATTTTCCTGCTGTTCAGCTTTAATGMAGGCCAGGATCCCTGCCTGGCTCCYTGCAGCCACAGCCATGCYTGTGGGAGGGGGAATGGAGGGACAAAATAAGCCCAATGCCCTGGGCACCAGCCCCTGGGTGGAACAGGTCCCTGCACTTGCAGCTTGGCCAGCTCCTTTCAGTCCTGCTCAACAACCAAGCTCCCACCCCCAGGCAAAAACCRGGAAACATGAAAACCCAGGAACACAGAGGCTGCTGGGTGTCAGCCCKGCTCCAACAGACACCTGGCAATGAGGATACCGGGGTGAGGAAAGAATGAGCTATGACACAGTGAGCGAGTCATTCATTTGTGAAACTGTTTACTTGTGATCCTTTGCCTTCCCACCTCTGTCCTCGCTGCTGTGACATCAAACAGAATTCCTCGGTGCCAGGGTCATTTCCCTGGGAGCCAGGCCAGCTCCCCTGTGCCCTGGAGCAAGGCCATGCACTCTGTGCCACGGGGACAGCCTCTCAGGGCTCAGTGTCCCTGCACCGTGTTAGAGAGCAGGGGAAGCACTCCCAAGGCACCAATGTCCCCCCAAAGGTGACAATCTGCCAGCAGTGCTGCAACAGAACCCTCTCGTGTCACTCCCACGATCCCTGGGGAGCAGCAGGGCCAGGGAAGGGCTGTGAACGTGGCAGGGCAGGAATCCAGGCTGAGCAAGCAAGTGCTGTCCTGCAGCAGGCCCTGGGGTCTCAGGGAGCAGCAGGGACATCGAGGCACGGACAGSGACACCCTGCTGCGTGCCACCGGGCAAGAAGGAACTGAAACCACCTCCTTCAGTTTTAGGCATCCTTTAGACTCTCAGCCAGAGAGCAGGGCAGGCTCCGTCCCTGTGCCAGCAGTCACTTCAGGAGAGACTGGAACACGGAGATGACGGGGTCCTCRTGGCTGGTGACCACCAGCACGCTGCGGAACTTGTCAAACAGCATCAGCAGCTGGGAGCGCCGCATGTTCTCGTTGTACATGATCTCCTCCAAGTGGTGCCGGCCTCGGAAGTAGTGCAGCAGCCTGCAGGGAGCAGAGCAAGGGAGCACGTGAGCCCAAAGCAGCTCAAACTCACGCTGCCACCCCCAAGGTCTGCTCTCCCAGGGGATGCAAACCAGGTGTTTGGTTTATGTCCCTCATTTGCATGAAAAGGGAATTAAATCATGCCTAGCACAAAAATCCCCTGGAAAAGCAGGGGACTCGCCCACTGTGGGGCTTTGCCAAGGTCCTCTTTGGATCAAGAGGTTTCCTAGCCTGGAGCATTTCCCAAGATTGTGAATTTTCAATTTAGTTACAATTCCAGAAAGTGAAGAAACACAAGTGTCAACAAGCCTTGAAAGTCAGGACGTGGCAGATTTAGATGTGCRTTCTCTTAGCTGGGCCAACACCACCCTTGATCACAGTTCTGCACCAGCAGCCTGGGTACCTCCACTGCCTTTTAGAATTAAGAGCGATTTTGCCTCACAGCAGCCCAAGAGGCTTCCTAACTACAGCTCCTGCACTCAGGGTTTGGGCAGCTTGGGTTGGGTGGAGCAGTCACAACAGAGAGATGGAAATTTTGGTGAATGGCAGCACAGAGAAGCACTGGCAGTACAAACCCCCTGAAGTCTAAGCTCAGACTATGCTGACTTCTTCAATTCTCTGTTCTCAATAAAAAAGGCACACAGTTACCTCTTTGCTGGCCACCTGCATGCTATAGCTATCAGAAAACCTCAGCCCTGCACAGTCKGTCACAGCAGGGTCTGTGATAAACAAAAAGCCCCCAGTGGCTGAGGACCTCTCCCCGGAGTTCCCTCTGAGCCAGCCCCGCCAGTGAAGCCCAGGTTTGCTGCTCAGGTCTCACTCGTCTCGACACCCTCCCAAATGTCACAGCAACGCTGCACGTGTGACTCAAACACTGCCACCGTGAAGGGCCAAAGGCCAGAGCCCCTTCCCAGCTCCACAGCCAGCTGTGCATCCACACGTGTTCCACATCACACTCTGCTCTGTGCTCCAGCAGCCTTTGCTCATGTTCCATTACCCATCTGCAGCTTCATGCCAACTGACTGTAAAAATCAGTGATGACATGATCTRTTTTCCAACCCGTTCACACACTCCTCATGCAGGAACAGCCCTCAGAATACACCCAATAACCACGGGAGCACCCCTGCCTGTTTTCACAGGGCAGCAGGATGGAGTGGCTCCTGCTTTCCCTGCAGGACCAGTGCCTGCCTGGCTRCCTCCTGCTGCTCGGGCCAGGCACTCCTGTCACCCACTGCCCTCRTGGGTGACTGGAAAGGAATCACCATGCAATAGGTCTCCCTCCATCACACCTCCACTGCACTGTGCAGAGGGGTTTTCACCTCTAGCCCATTGCCACATGTTTCTCCACTTCCCAGTTTGCCACGTCCCTCCCTCCTCTTCCCCCGAGCTGCCTGTGGGCTCAGAGCAGGATCCTCACYGGCAGCCCGGGGCTGGGCAGCCCCAGCACGCTGCCAACTCCCTCCTGCTGTTCCTCTGCCAGCTCTCAAGCTGGCACCTGTATGGAGAACATAATTGCTGCCTCTCTGTACCTGCAGCACAAACAAACAACAGAGAGAGCTCCAGTCTCATCTACCTCCCCCTGTCTGGGCTGTGCATTTGCCTTTTGCACTGTGTCCCACTGGGTGTTGACATGAGGCTCATTGGCCACCTCCCCTGGGCCGGTGGCAACTGTGGGCATAGAGAAGTAGCCACTCACAGGGGCAGTGTCARTTCTGGGGTGCCAAAGCCACACTGTTCCCTCAGATATGAACAGAAACATTTGTATCTTACATCTCCTATCACATTCAGAAGGGATTTGGAGGATTCCCTCCCCTCTGCCAGGCTCCCTGTGCCTGCCCACGTGCTCTCATCCTGGCTCAGCTCTCTCAGTGCAAGTGGTACAGTGTGGCTTTCCACAGCAACACACACAGAGCAGTTTGCCAATAAATAAATCCATCTTACATTCAAAAAGAGTCTGGATTTGTAACTGGTCAAGACCAAATACTTTCCACTCCAATAAAAGCTAGAGAGGATATTAAAGAATATCACAAAAATGCCAGCTGGAAGACACCCCCAAAGTCTAGCCCAGCATCCTGTTCCAGCAGGACCACTGCCAATGCTGTAGAGCTTTTTCAAACCCTTCAGAGATGGAGATCCCCCCACATGCTCAGGCAATCTGTCCTGGGCTGCAGCACCCTCCCAGGGAGGATGTTTTCCCAAAAGTCCCAAGAATCTAGACAGCTGTCCTGGGGGCTCACAGCTTGGTGAAGGTGGGCACTGCCTTCACCTTTTGGGCAATGAACATTTATGGGACACAATCAGCACGAGGTGGCACCTCTTGGGGCAGTGACGCTGTGCTGGAGTCCCTCTGAAGCTGCACAGATGTGTCTGCTGCCAGATGTGCACATCCAAATGCAGTGATGGAAGATTATTGCTTTCCATTGCTCATCACTGTTTCCCCCTCCTCAGGTTACAAGAGCTGCCCCTCTAACAGCACTGTAACGTTCCTACACATTAAAAAGAAAATAATTCTCTCAAATTCATTCTATTTGAATTGCTAGTCTGTTTCTGTCCAAGGAGATGTCCCTGCCACAGCCCTGCTTGAAACCAGGGCCAAACTGAGCTGCCAAAGGGTATTCCCCACAGAACTGAAGGATCTCAATCTCCCAATCTCAGAACAAGACAAACCCCGAGAGCAACTCCACACCCACAGCTTGGGAGAGCAGCCATGAGTGAAGCCTCACACTTTCTCAAGCTTCAAAAGCACTTCTTCATGTGCAGTGAGGAAGGCTTATGTACATTATTGAGGAYTGAGCTCAAAAAGAACTTGCCCCATTCTCAAACATATTCCTGGAAGGCCATGCCAACCCTCCTCCAGCCGCACCACCTTAGGAAAGAACTGGGATTTCAATTCCTRTTCAATGTTCCATCAATTGATGCAGCCAATGCTGGAGCCAAACTTTAGTAATTCCCTACTTCCCCTTCAGATTTCTGCCCTCAYTGTGCACTGCCCTGGCCAGGCCCCAGCTCTCTGTGCTTCTGTGTGATGAGGGATGGGCACTCAGAGGCACCAGCACAGGAAAATGTGCCAGGCTGAGCTTTATTGCTGTGCTGGAAATAGCCCATCCCTCTGTGTGCACACAGCACCCTGGGAAGGGTAAATACCACAGGATATTTAGGGCACCAGTTGTGCATTTATAGCACTTTGCTCTGGAGGCAGCTGTGAGAGCAGAGCTGTTTGCCAGGGCACAGCCCCACCGAGGCTGCTGCTCCTCACAACCAAGGAAGGAAGGAAGGGCTGGAGCAGGAGCTGCATGGGGTGACGAGGGAGATCAGCTCTTTCAGGCACATTCTCCATGGCTGTTTCCCTTTCTTTGAGAGCAACAGATTGACTCTCATCTCTGATGGTTATGGCACAAAAAGAGAGAAAATGCACCCACAACCTACAAGTTTTGGTGTCTCATAAAATCAGCAGTAATCAAGAGGGTCTTGCAAGAGGGACATTCCTATAGGTGCACTGCAGCATCTGCCCACAGGACCYATCTGCTTATTGTCTATTTATTGTTTAATCTGTTTACTCCTCACTGTTGCCATAGAGGATCCTTTACTTGTCAATTTGATCTGTAGTAGACTGGAAATTCAGACCTGGCAAGGCCTGGGGATCTGCAACAGAACCTGRGGCAGGAGCAAACTGCAAAATAAACATCACTCAGCTGGTTTCACAAAGAAATCAGAATTTTCATCTGCAGTTCCAAAGCTTCCAAATGGCTGTTTTACCCAGCTGAGGAAGTGAGAGGGGAGCAATCATGACATCCTTTCTTCTCACTAGGATAACTAAGAATCTTCATTGCCACTGAACTRGTCCAAAGAATCCCCCACAAATCCTGTCTGAACATATTAAATATTATTTTGCTTTTACTTTCCTTCCTCACTGGTTTTRTAATGACTTAGTTGGTAATAAAGAAAAAAAAAACCCTTCAGGGCTCTCAAGTGGCCAATGCTGCCTCTCAGTCAGAGCATATTCTCTGAAGAGATGCAGAAGATGAAGGAGACGAGTAATTCAGAGAGCAGTAACTGCCCGCAAGCTCTGAGAGCTCTGTCCAAGTCCCTGAGCTGCACTCTGCCACAGACAAGGCAAGTATTTTCCTGCYATTACAGCTTCCCTGGGCTACCTGACTGCATCCATTCTAGGGCAAGAACCAGRTTTTCAGGGGATTCCCAGCTGAATCCAGAGTATGGAACAGCTGCAGTCCTTGCCTCAGGTGGTTTCCTGCTCCACAAGTATGAAAACCAGTGGARATTGCATTCCAGTGGTGCCACTGTGTTTTGAAATCCTTAGGAAGTATTTCCCTCCCTCCCTTCTTCCCAGATGGCTGGTTAGGAAGTCACTCTGCCTTCACCCCGTGCAGCCCTACATTGTGCCTGGTTTTGTAATGTGGAAATTTGTAACAACAAAATGTGAGTGCTACCAATCACAAATCCTAAAGCATTTAGCTTAACCAGCCTAAGCAGTGAGCTCTCACCACTGCAAAYAGACCTTGGGACACTCACAGGCTGGGCTGTACAAGTATTCAGGCTGGCTCTGTGACTCATGTTTCCATAGAGTTTACAAACCATAAAATTAAGGATAGCTGGCTTGGAAATACCAACAGACACAAAATGGCAGCATCAGCATCACTGGTCTCTGCCTCACCTGCTGTGAAAGSTTTTTTAGGCTGTGCAGTTTTGTGTCTGCCATGTGTGGGCACAGGAGAACTGGCAGGCAAACAATGAAGTCCAACCTCCCTGATGCTCCTTCACACCCCTAGAACTCTCTGTTACCAAGGGTTCTTGTGCCACATGTATCAGTTTTTATTACAAATAAAATAGAAATAGAAGAACAAACCCAAAAGAATTTCTCCTCCAAATCCCCAGGCTAACTGGATTTGCTCAGGCTCCACACCAATCCTTCCATAAAGCAGAAAGGATAARAAACAATGATTGCATCCTGCACTGCTCACCTTGCAAACATGCGGAGATCTTCTGGATTCTGGGCAGCAGGGACATTCAGGATGGCTTCCCGCTCGTGTTCCAACAGGCTGGCCAGGAGATTCTCTGTCATCCTCTTATTTAGGGGTGAGTCCCCACCAGGTATCAGCTCAGCACTGGAATTATCCATGCTAGGGCTTGTCAGAGTCATGTCATCACTGCTGGCTATCAGGGCAAGAGAGAGACACACACACACGGAATCTTTATATTCCTCAGCATAAAGATGCAAAGTTTATCAATTCAGGCTTTCCAACTAATCCCTTTACTCTGGAGAGCAGAGAAAGTGGCTCTCCAAGTGCTCCATGAATCTGCAATTAGTCATATAACAACACAGCCATTTTCTCAATGGGAAATTCAAATGCTTCAACAAAGTCATCAATTTGTGTGGAAAACTGTACTTCTGGAGACCATAAACAGACCATAAAAAAACATTTGAAAAGAGAATTCCCAGCCAGCTGTGCTGGAATACCATGAAGTGGTAACATGAAAAGCCTAACRGCACAGAAGGTGGGAGCAGGCAGAGAGGCCAAGAAGCAATATCCTCTTGTGAGTGAGCCAGAATAAGCAGATCACAGACTCATCTGACWCACGTTCCAAGATTTCTGTCCCAATTCAAGTCCTGTAAAGCTCAGAGTTGTACAGAGAATCCCTCCCCACATCCAAGCCCAGCAGTGTTCTGAGAACGCTGCTCAGAACAGCACAKGCAGGGAAGTTTGGTGATTTCAGCATTGTATCTGACTCATCMTCTTGAAAGAATGCTTTCCTGGAATCACCCTGAAGAATGACACTGGGGAGATTAAAGAAATCAGGAGACATAAACAGAAATCAATCGTTTGTAAGAACAAAGCCAGTACTGTGTCGCCTCTAACAGTTCTACAGCCCTCTGAAACCAGTGCTGCTTGAAAGAAAATGTGAGAATTTCTTTCTGTCCTGAAAACCAAACTTTGGTCAGTAACAGCAGTGCAGCCAGAGGAACACAGGGGATACTTCTGTGTGCAGCAAGGGAGGARGAAATTCCTTTAAAAAACAAAGAAGTACCTCTCATAAAAATCTTTTACGTGACCAAATGAGAACTTGGCAAATGACAAAGCTTTACTTCTTTCTAAAAAGAAGGCTAATAATCCCTAGGACTTTCACCAATGTCCAAATCTAAATTTAGGAAAGACTGGACCTAATCAGCAAGTAACTCCAGCAAGAGGAGTTGTCTCATTACCAAGACCTGATGGCCCTTGGCAGCACTAAGGGAAGCTCTAGAAGTGAGGTGGAGTCTGAAGAGCAGAGAAAAGTGTGTTCATACTTGGAGAGCCAAAGCTGAGAGCGTTGGGGGTGCTCAAACTTCGTCCCCCAACCCGGGCAGTGAAGGGCATGTCTTCATCCTGGGCTCGGAACTCCTCCTCRTTCGGGGGCACCATCAGGCACACGTAGGTGTGGAGCTGGATCAGGAGCCGGTGCTGGAGCATCCAAATCACCATCTGGATGAGCTGGGTCTGCAGGGGGAGAAACCAGAGGTTAAACACCTGGGAAATAACATACAGCTGGGTCTGCATGGGGAGAAAGGAGGGGTTAAACTCCTGGGAAATAACATACAGTTGGGTCTGCAGGGTGAGAAACCAGGGGTTAAACTCCTGGGAAATGACATACAGTTGGGTCTGCAAGGGGAGAAATGAGGGGGTAAAGGTGTGGAAAAATGAGATACAGGAGGAAAACAACACACAAAGGTTACACTTTGTGAGTAAGGAGTCACAGGGAGAAATGCTTCTCACCCCACACAAGAGTTCATCGTCTTTCCAGTCATAAAAAGGAGACCAGGCATAAACTTTCATCACACCCAGAGCCTCRGTGGGTGCTTAGGCTGCAGTGGAGCCTTTCATGAGCCACATCTTTATACAACATTGACCAGCCAAAGGAACCTGCCCTGCCCCTGCCACCGCTCCAGACCTGTTTGCTGGTTTGTTTCTATGCAAGGGCCACTAAAATAAGTCACTGAAGGGTTAATCCCARATGGTCAGACTGAAGTGCAGGCTCATCTAGAGAGCCAGGGAGAGGGCAGGGTRATGGGGCAGAGCTGAAGCAACCAGAAGAGGTGGCCAGGAATAGGAGCCAATTTGTTGTCAGATAGGAAACTGATGATCAGTCAGGGGAGAGGCTCTGGAGATCAGAACTGGACAGAGCTGGGTGACACAGAAACAGCACCAGCAGCAGCAGAAGCCCTGGCAAGGGCCTGAGCTGCCAAGGAGTCTTCTCTCAATGCAAAGAGCTTAAAAACTCACCTGGCATGTCAGGCAGGCAAGAGACTCAAAAGCAGAGAGATAACTCTTGCATTAAACATGCACAACACCTGCTGGAGACCTGCACCATGGGCAGAGTGAGGGGCAGGCCTTTGTAGGCTCTTGGCATGGTCTGTTTTCAGGAGTCTGGGAGGAGCCTTCAAAAGGCATCATTGTGTCTTGATTTCTGCATAAAAAGCCTTTTCATATCACTGCAGGCAACTCTCATAGCAAAGGGCTCTGAGAACACAATCACTGACAAGGCTGTTTGGGGATTTCATAGCAACCRGCACTGTTTTGGTGAGACAAACACATGCAGCATGAGCTCAGACTCAGAAGGAAGCTCGCTCTGCTGCATTAATCATCAGRGGAACAGGCCAAATCTCCAGAAAAGCCCCAAACCCAAGTTCATCAGCCCACATAATTTTCCTTTTTCCATAAATCTTGTAATTCTCAGTTCCTCCTCGGCTATCAAATCAAAAAGAAACCTCTTCTGCTTGCAGACAGACCCACACCCTGTCTTTTCAGGGATTACCACTTCTGGGGGCTCAGTGGGTTTTAATCTTAAAACATATTATCTGGGAGCACCTTCAAACATCTATTTTCTGGAAAAGCCATAATTCATTTTACATGTTTAGCAGAGAATCTACTGAAGAGGAAAGTTGGCAAAAGACACCAAAGATACCGAGCTTACATCTGAAGTCAGCCTGGAAGAGTGAGGTTTAGCCCAGTGATTACATTGCTGAAATCCTTCCTTCCAGATGCAGGCCTGAATGGAAAGATGGCTCATTTATTTTACTTCAATTTCCAACCTGTTGGCACGCAGYGATGTCTGATTGGCAAATGAAAGAAGTCTGCATGTTTCAGAGCACGAAACAACCCTGGTAAAATCCAAGGAGACAGGAAGACAGGCTCCCCCAGGCCTGCAGAAGCTGTGGGTAGGGCCTGTCCCAGACCAACCTCCCGTGGTCACTCTGGTGGTTCCATGAATTCCAAAAATAGAGCAAATTTCTTTTGCTACAACTCCATGTGCACGGAGAGTCTCATCCAACACTCTCTAATCCTGCATGTGCACCTTCACCTCCACACCCTTGTGSCTCTCTAGAGCCACCCTGAGCCAGCAGCTCTGGCCCAGTGGAACAAGAAGCCAGGCAGCAGCACTGTCACAGCTCCACAGCCACAACACTGAGCAACCCACCCCTGCCAAACACCTCTGTGCCATCTCTGGGCGGGACAGCTGGAGATCTGTGACCAAGATGAGAATCTCRTCTCCCATCCTGAAGTGAGCCTGAACAACCATGCCTAGACCACAGAGGCTGGTGATCCCTGACATTTTCCTGTACTAAGCACAACTTCAGCAGGAATTTGCTGCTTCTTAAAATGCAGTCCTAGGAAAAGCCCAAGTGCTGCAGCATCCTACACTGAATCATGAGCTTTGTGCCACCACTGCGAGTGTGCCTCATTCCCCCTTCCTCCAGGTGTAGATCCATTTCTTACCAAAGGCACAAGWGTYTYCACAGACCAGCTCTAGCAGAAGYTTTGCTAACAYGTTCTGCTGCCTGTCCTGGACACRAGCACTGAATTTCCATCCATTCTCCATCTGCTCCTCCCAAGCTCCAAAGGAGCTCACACAGGGCCTGAGGAGCAGAGGCTTCCCTGCACCATCTGTGCTGCTGGCTGGAAATGCTGCTCCTCCCCCAGAGGTGCAGGGTTATCTCTGTGCCTGCTCTCAGGGCACTTCATTAGAGCTAGGCTCCTTGCTGAAGCCAAAAGGGCTGGGAGCAGCTTCCCAGGCAAGGATATTCTTCAGTCCCAGGACTGCCTGTACTCCTTCAGCCATCCTCTGGCACAGCAGGAATCCAGAGCCAGCCTTTCTTGGCTGAAACACCAGGATCGTGATGGAAATATAAAGCAAAACATTTTCTGTTGCTTAATTTAACTACCAATTCAATCTAAATTTCATCCATGTTCCTTTCATGCTTCCTGTCTGCCCGTGCTGCCTCTTTCCAGCCTGCTCTGAGGGGGTCCTGTCTGCTGCAGCATCCACATCTGGCCTGTTCCTGCTGGCAAGGATCAGCCCAGGGCCATTCCCAGAGCAGGGACAGGGTGTTGTCGTGCCAGGCACTGGTACAATGCCCTGCTTTGTGCTCACTGACACAACCAGGGATGCTGCATTGCCTTCCAGAAACACAGCATTGCGTGCTAGCCCAGCTGGGCAACTGGGGATAGCCAGAGTAAAACTCAGCCCTGACCTTGCAGGGACAAGATGCACCATTCCTTATTCTCTGGGAGCATTTGTAAAACTCCTGAGAAATGTGTCAAATTTCCTGCAAGGATTCTTTAAGGCTGCTTTCATTCCCAGGGCAAAAACATTAAGGATAACCAGGAGCAGGTTCAGGAACGGGAAGGGAAAACAGCAGCCTAGAAGCACTCAGTCCTAGCTTGTTTCTCAGTACATGAGGAGAAGCTTGGTTAAAACACAGCTTGTTCTGCCTGCTCAAGCACACAAACCCCCTTTCTYCAGCCTGGATTATCCAGTTATTTGACACATGCCCTTTTCAAGGTCTGACTTGACAACTGAGGGCTGCCTTGGCTCAGGACAATGACACCTTCAAAGTCACTGGGGTGCAGGGATGTTTGCTGAGATACATTACCTTTCTTCAGCATTCAAACCATGCTGTTTCATGGAAAATGGATCAGCTATTAAAACTTCTCCCCACTTTACAGGAAACAGACTGAAAACTCCTGCTGATGTAGGATAAAACATTTTCTGTCCAATACCGCCAGTTTAATCATTAGGTAACAGCTCTGAATTCTCAGCTTAACCATTCCCTCCRTTCAGGCCTAGCATGACATATTCTTTTAACTTCCTCTGCTAAACCCAATTTTATACCCAGTCCAACTGAACATAAACGCATCTTAATCCCACTTCCCCACCTCTGCCAACAAAAGCTCCCGTGGCTCCTAATGCCTTCCAGCAGARCACACTATGTGTCTCTGAAGACACAGCTGCCCATTCAGGGTGTGCAGGCAGCTTCCCTCCCACTCTATCCCCTGACACATTTTCCTGCCTCATTTTCCACAAGCCCTGCACGTTTTCCACAGGCACAAGGCAGAGGCCTCACCTCCCTGCGCCTGACTCCCGGCAGGATGGCCAGACTGACTTGTCTGTGAAAGTGAAAACTTAAACAGATTTTGTTCAGCAGCAGCTTGTTGTACTTCCCCATCTGGTTTTCTTTTTTTTTTTTTTTTCCTGCAGTTATCCACATGCCATCAAGGGAGAGTTAGAGAACTACAAGAATAGTAATGACAATGTGCATTATGATAAAGGGGATGTAGGGAGTAAACGGGATGTCTGATTCACTTGGGAACGCTCCTTACAGGTGGGAAGATCCCTCCTACTASTCCATGTTTGTTCAAGGCAGAGAGATATTACAGCTTCTGAAGCAGATGAACGAGCTGAGGTCACAGTGCAGAGGAGGGGAAGCCACAAACATCATCCCTAACTTTTGGTTTGCAAAGCAACTTAGTGCAGAGTAGCTGGGTAWAGAAATTTGATGCTGAACAAAGAAATCCTTGCCCTGAAGAGGAGGTCAAAGCCTTCCACTGCACCAGCAGYAGTGCCTGGTACAGATCCTGACAATGAACATGTGCTGACCTGGCCTGGAGTCACCAAATGCTCCAGAGCTTTCCCAGGGGGTTTGGAAGGGGTGTGCACCCCACAGATCCCCAGAACTCCACCCTGCTGTGCTCTGCACTCACAGTAAGGCTGTGCCACTCGTGGAGAAGAGCACAGGGACATGAACCAACAGCCATGGGCAGCAGAGCAATGACAGCTTCTTTGGGATCAGGGTAGAGGAGATGCAAACTGCTGCTTTTCCAGTAAAAACACTGAAAGGCAAGATGAGTTCCSTTTTGTATGAGCTCACAGGATCTCCCCTTCCCATGGCTGCACCCTGGTGAGATCCAGCACAGTCCCAGGCACTGCTGCATGGTGACACTACATGGCACAGTGGAGCTAAGAGACAACTCACTGTGCAATGGGGAAAACAGCTCCTGCTTCCCTCCCCTCCCTCACTCTGAACTCCAGCTCACAGATCTCCCTGAGTGAATTCCACCTGTTAACCTGGCAGGAAACCTGTGCAGCCAAAACAATTGAATGGAGTGGGGCTGGACAGGAGCCAGAGCTCTGGGAAAGGGAAGAGGAATGGGGAGAAGGCCCCTGTGTGTGCACACACCTGGAGTGGGAAGGAACAGCAGGGCCTCAGCTCAGCAGCACTCAGATCTCCTWAGATTGGCAGAACTGAGGGCATGGGCTCATCCTCACCCTGCTGCAAMTCTGCTGTCCCAGGAAAGCCAGGGGGAACAAAGTGAAACTAGCAGGGAGCAATGCATGAATACCCAAATCTTGTCAACTGATGGATAAACACTGACCAGAGTTCCACTGCAATACACTGCTCCTCATCACAGGCAAGAAAAGAGATGAAGGTGACACAATCAGGAGTTTCAGTCTCTGGCACAGGGCACAGCTGAGAGCACTGGCAGGCCTGGCACACATCACTCACTGGACACCTCCTACCTACTCGACAGGCAGATACCAAAAACAGAACACAGCCATGCACTCCCAAGGCAGCCTTGTCCTTGCTCAGGTTGCTCATATCTCCTACCAGCCAAAAAATACCACAGCACCCCGAGTATAAAAAGGAGTATCACATTTTTTACATCTACCCAAAGGAATGGGGGAATTCCGCTCATGTAACAGTAATTGAACAAAAATAACTTTGTCCCCTTTCAAATCAAGCACTACCTTTGTATAAACACAGGAAGGGCTGTGAGAGCTCTCCTATTTCCTATCGTGGGCTTTATTAATGCTTTCTGYATTCTCTACCCATGCAGAAGCACATGCCCAAGGCAGGGAGCCAATCCCATGCTTAAGAGARGCATCAAATGGGATGGATGCCATGAGGCCACAGCAGCTTCTGCAGAGATACACCCCCTCCCACAGTACTGACCCTCCAGCACAGTGACCTTCAGGAGAACAGATAGTGCCCTCAGCCTGATGAAAAGTACAAGARAACAGACAATCCCTGCAAATCTTTAAAGCTGAAAAGCCTCATCACCTCCTGTGCACACAGAGAACAAAACTACAGAGAGAAATCCCAGCTTTGCTAATTTTTTTCAAAGGCAAAGCAAATACATCTTGACAATATTTACAGTTCAGAGTACATCTTTTAKCACAGCACAGAAGAACAAAAACCCACCCACATTTCATTAGATTAATTGCTGTATTGATTAGATCTCTGGTAATTACAATTGGAGCCTGACCACTTCAGGGCAGGGATTGGAGTTATCTCTTTTAAAAGACTAGTTCTTAACAAAAAATAATACAAGTAGTCCTACATAGGTAAATCAAAGTAGAAGGAAATGTACTGATATGAAAATACATAAAAACTGTCTCCAATCTAAACTCCCCCCAGAACTGTCACACTTCACTTTATCAAAAAGCCACAGCTTTTCACAGAATCATCCTTCATCCTTCCAATAAGGCTGAAAGGAGGATGAAAGCAAGCTGTGCTGCTGACCCTCAGGACCCACCACACACAGGTGAGCAGCAGAGGGAAGGTACACATTCCAAAAAACACTTTAGCACCCCATCAGCTCTGGCAAGCATTTACTTCAGCCTTATTGCAAGGCATAACTGCAACAGTAAAAGGCAGACTTTTATTTGTGTATTTTAAACAAAAGTAGGACGTCTGAGAACAACAGAACTATTGAAGGAGCAGTATTAAGGCAAGTAATTAATTTTAAAAGGATTACTGAGAATGTCTCCTGAAGCTACTGCGGCTACAATAAAATTAATGCGATGATTTCAGCTTCAATTTTCAGGACACTTATTTGTCTGTAACTACAGTGGAGTCCTGCTCTTCCCCTGCCTCCCAAGGCAGCACTTGGCCAGTACATACRACTGGGATTAGACCTACCTCATTACTTATCTCTGCTCATCATCTCTGCCAGCCTGTAATTACAACCCATTTTTCCCTCACAGCTGTGCTCAAGTGCCCAGGTGATGTTAATCTTCTCTGTGTCTGAGTAGGGGCTGAATCCATGGAGCCACCAAGGCACCCAAGTCTGAGGGCCAGAAACAACCACGAGGAAGCAGCCAAAGAACTCTGCCTACGCTTCCCTCGCCACACTGAGGTCCAAGCTCCTCCATCTGGGAGCAGAACAGYGTCAGCCAGGAGACCTCACTTTATTGAGCTCCTTCGTGTGTTCCACCAGTTCCCAGAAATGCCACAAGCCATGATCGATGCGTGAGCAAAACAGCTCACAAATCYCAAATCCATATTTTATTAGCTCAGACCTGAACATTAAAAAGCTAATGCAGTGACACACAGGCTTCTGCTGAGCCCATGCTGAGTCTACTTCCTCCAACAGCCTTTAAACAATTCCAGTTTTACAGCAAAACCAAGTGAACAGACAGATTGCTTTTAAAAACAGATTGTGAACTTGGAGCAGATGGAATARAATAAAATCAAATGTGATTGTGAGGATTCCACAAACTTGATTCCGCCCTACCAATTTATGACAGTTTGTAACAGACCAAATGGAGTTTCAGTTTTCCCTACTACATCACTGCATGAACAGAAACATTCTARTATTTCTTTCAGGACTGTGCTTTGCCAGCACAGAGCATCCTCTCACCTTGAACRTCCCCACAGCTTTTTGGCACAAGGATATGAAACAACAAATCATAAGGTTGGAAATACAGTAACTGGGAACTTGTCAGTGTGCAACAGCAGGTTCCAGGAGCAGCACCATCCCTTGTGAGCAGAACAAGGAGCTGTTGGACAGTGCCCAGCTCACCTCCTGGACGGGCGGTGCCAGCGGGTTCTTGAACTCGGAGAGCGACACCGGGAGGGAGAACTTGGCCAGCATGGAGGGCAGGTTGTGACCCCGGAACTGACAGGAGAAGGCATCTGCCAGGGGAGAGTAACTGCAGGAGAGAGGCAAAGGCACAGATCAGCACTGTATGCTGGTCAGGGTAACTTTCAGCCATTTAAGCGCTGCAGAAGTGCCAATTCCCAAATGTAAATTCCCTGTGATCTAGAGAACCCCTAAGGATACTCGCTGGCATGCTGTGTCCTGCAGAAACCTGCCAGAAGCTCCTGCACTTTCATGTCAGCCTTACATTCAGCTCCAGGACTTTATTCAAGGTGTGGAGGGAATCCAGAGGAGAAAAATGAAAGCAATAAAAGGTCCAGACCTGTGCAGCCTCTGATAAAGGGACAGGGCTGGGCAGGATCCACACACAACCTCTGGATGTGCAAACTGCAGCTGCAGATGTGGCTGTGCCCCTCCCCATGCTGACAGGATAAACAATATGACTGAGCAGAAGTAAAGGACAGTCAAGTTAAATATTAGGGAAACCATCTGTCTTAGGTTTCCCATCTCCCAAGGTCTTCAAGAACAGCACTGCCATATATGACACAGGCACAGCTGCTGCTGAGTGACCTCAAGGACYCTTCCAGCCCTATTTTTATACTTCCATCACTGCAGTTTTGATTTAAAACTATTTTCCTATAATTGAGTTCCAACACAGGGTCTAAAAACATCTCAAAATCCAACAGAGGAAGGGTTGCCAATCTTCAGCAGAGCAAAAATACCCACCACTGCCTCCACACCTTCCTTGCAGTGGCTCTGCCTGCTCTCCAAATGGCTGTGTTGCCTTCTGTGTGTGACAAGGCACACAGTGTGGAATGCCAGCACAGGAAACAACACGAGAGTGATGACAACTTTTGCTACTTTTGATTCATGTCAGGTGTGCCAGCTACACAGAGAGCCCTATAAACCACTCATTTAACTTAATCATAAAGTATTTTGGTTTCTAAACTTTCCCATATTGGACATTCTGTGAGCAAAAGCACTAAAAAAATACTGACAGCACATCCACAGGGTAAATATTGCTTCCAGGGCCCTCACCACCACAGAGGAATATTGATCTGCTCTGCTGCTCCTCCCTGCCCACACTGGCTGTGCAAGTCCAGGCTCATGTAATGGTTTGTGTTTTGCACAGTCTTAACAAATTCATGAAGGAAGATCCYACTCTGTATCCAGTGAGGGAAGGAAAGTGCATCCACACTCCTCACAGTGGCTGCTGCCACAGACACATCTTCCTTCTACTTACAGGCAGACACTGGCGTTTGGAGAAAGCATGTAGACATTGTTTTCACAAAGAGGATAAATAATAATTGCTTTGCCCCAGTAAACAAGATGTGCAGCAAGCTGGAAAACCTGTATTGAGAAAACAGGGGAAAATTAGGGGAGCAAAAGCAATATTCAAATTCTCAGCAAGCATTCCACACAAAACAAAAAAAAGGCTTGTTTGAGCTGAAATGAAAGAAAAATGTTCCATCCTTTCACCCTGACTTCAGAATAAATTCATGGTTTAATACAACATGTGGCAGATCAAAAAGCATTTGACAAGGTTATGAATTTCCAGAGATTCTCTTCACATGTCTAAGCAACTTAGTATTTCCTGCCTCAAAGGAATTCCTTCAAACTCTAGCAATACAAGTTTAGCTTCTTTACATGCCCCAAAAAACTATTTTTGTTTATGCACAAAATGCATGATGTTATACATGAAAAATAAAATACATTAAAAATAAAGGAGTCAACCTYTACTATGACACAAACATAAGGAAACCAACAGTGCCTTTTTACTGCACTGAGGTATTTCAGTAATGAGCTACACAAAGTATTTTAATGTGTTAAACAAGTCAGTGGTTGCTAATGGCTCTGGAAAAGCCACATAAATGGTGTCTATGAGACATAAAATCCAGCCTGTATCATTAGATGCATTTAACTGYGCTTTTTTGTGGAGAACAAAACTACAGAAGCACTAGGGAATTTCCAGAGTTCATCCCATAGCCAAGTAACACCACAGACCAGTCCTGGAATTTTATTACAAAGCAGGACCTTTCCCTTGCAATAAGAGAAGGCCCAGACCTGTGAACAGGAGAACATGTGATGATGAGCTATTCCTCCTGTCACACAGAGCAGAGATCATGTCCCTGGATCTGGATTGACCCTTAGGAGCATGGACTGGCTCCTCCCTCTCTGGGATCATCCCATATAATCATCCCCAATGATCACAGATATCCACAGGGATCTCTCAGTGGCCTCACAACTCTCGTGAGTGCCAGGGTCTCATCCCTCCACTGGCACAAACTTCCCTTTCCAAGGGCTCCTCACGTCACCTCCAGCAACTCAGATTTGAGAGATGGTTATCACTGCTGGAAAGGCAATTGGAAGGAGCCGCTGCCTTGGGGAGACTGGCTCCAAATTTCTGCCCAAGCCCAAACTAGATCTTCTTCCCATGACTCTGCAAAGTCTGTGCACTAATGGACTAAGAAAAATGGATGGGAAGGTTTGCACAGGCATTCACAAGCCTTTGGCAGCAAAGACCTTGGCAAGTCTAGGGGAAGCCATGGCAGCTGTAAATCTCTATTTGCATTTTGGGTGCCTCATTTGCATGCAGACATCAGCGTGGCAGGACCAAGCCAGGCCACTGTGGTGTCAGTCAAGAGTACAATTTGCTCTGGTYACACAGGTCCTGAGGCAACACACACAAGGGGACAATGGGAAATTCCTCTTAGATATGAGGAAAGGTTTCACTCTGATGCTGGTCAGGTGCTGGACCAGAGAGGCTGTGGAGGCAGCCCTGGAGATGCTCAAGATTTGAAGAGAAGTTTCTCATCAGCCTGTGTTAATGGACTTGCTCTGGGCAGCACTGGGGATTAGAGACCCCCAGGATGGGGACTCCCCTCCAAGATGGGACAGGGCTGCCCAGCACTGACCCCACACCCCTGTTCTTTGTTTCTGCAGCCTCTCCCCAGCCTCCAGGGCTCTCTGCTCACACTGAGGGAGGGAGCTGACGTGCTCCTGCACCGCAGAACCCCAGGGGCACACAGGAGAAAACACCTCGTGATTTTAAAGGATCTCAGCAGCCGCTGACAGCTCCCCGTACCTGCAGCAATGCCAAGTCAGCATCTTGAGCCAGTTGCTGCAAATTCTTCACAGCAGAGGTAGTTTTAATTACTCTCACCAGGGCAGGAGAGCAGTCCAACGGGAGCTCATTAAGCAATGACTTCTCATCATTTAAAAGTAATAAGGCATGGTAAGGCCTGCAGAAAAATAGAATACATTTGCACAGTAAACTACAGCCTGTCCTGAAGGCTTTGTTATTCCCACACCACGATACCCAGGGTCAAGCTAATGGTAAAAAAGAACTTCTAATATCATCCTTTTGCTCTAACTGGGTTCAAAATAAGCTTATTTTTTATGTCACAGCATAAGATGGTCCCTATGAAAAGGGGACAGAGGGTTATATGGTAACTGAATATCCCAGTGACAAGGTAAAAAGACTGCACTGTACTGGCACAAAATTGAGAATTAGTCTAAAATACTAAAATACAGAATGGAGAAGAAAGGAAGAGAGTTAGTTACTTTTGCAGGTAGACAAACACAGGAAAATAAGGTATTTCATGGCCTGGGCTCTCTTTCTTCCAAAAGCAGAATTACTTCTGATTAAAATGAACACACAATTCCTGACTGCAAACAGTGCAGGCCTCTCTTGCAGCATCCCCTCAGTACAACCATCTCCTGTGAACACCAAGGCTGTTGGTTCCACAGCACGAATCCAGCAGCACCACAGTGGCAGGAGCAGCTCCAGGGAGTCCTGTCCCAGCCCAGGGCCCCCAGCTCCACAGCCCAGTCACACCACACCCCTGCCTGTGCCAGCTCAGGCGTTTGCAGCAGCACCCTTGGAACTGGAGCAAGGACTGGGCCCACTCTGAGAGGCAAAGCTGGCTCTTACCTGATAGATTTCAGGCTCTTCTCAATCGCTTCTGGGGGTATGAAGTTGGTGGCAACATAGTGGATTTTGTGAGGCAGGCAGAAACTCACTTCYAGCCAGTTGTTGATGTGTAAGCGAACCACCCCTGTGGTGCAGAGACTAAAAAAGGAAGACAATAAATCCATACACCATTTACCCTGTATCACAAATGAAAACAGCAGTCCAGAGTCACCCCTGCACAGGAATCACATCAGGACACGAAAAGACTGAATGGATTCTGTTTGTCCCAGGCTGGCTGAGGACCAGCTGATTCCTAACTGCAAGGGCCTCCTGAACTTGGACWTACAGAGCATCATCCCCTAAGGCATTTTGGGGGAGATCTGAAAATACTTCACCACCAATTTTCTGCTCTCTCTGTTCTAAAATTGCAGCAGTGTCYCAAGTTTAAAACGTTTCTTGAGGAATCTACTGCAGGGCATATTCCCTAGGCCAAAGCTGCAAAGGGCAAAGATGAACTGAGCACACTGTTTTCACCTCCAATTTCCATCCACCTCTCCAAGGAAAAAGAAAAGAGGATGTCTGTATAGGGCAAGGGCTGTTCCAAACAGCACATTTCCACAATAACAGCCTCTTTCAGTTCTGCTTAGGTTGTTTGCTTCCTACTAACCTGTTCCTGCTTGTCACATGAAATCACAAACGTGCTTGTTAAATGGTTTCTTCATTCTAGGAAACCACAGGGACTAAGCTAAGCCCTTAAGCTGATTCCAGACAACAGGACTGGAGTGGAAATGATGGATGTCTCAGGAATGACAATGAAGTCTGACCCTGGTGTTCAGCCTGAAAGCAACAATAAGCTTATTTTACTGAAAAAAAAAAAAAATGGAAAGCCAGGGATCAGAGACACAAACATCATTCAGGTGCTTTTACAGAAGTGTGGAAATGTAGACRAGAGGTGGAATACACCTCGGGAGGGAACTCTATTTACCAAAAATGGGGAATGCACCATGAGGAGCTAAGCCAGCAGCACCTTGCAAACCCTCACAATGGTCCCATCCCACAGGCAGGGAATGCTGGMCTGGGAACAGCTGTGCTGGGAGAAAGCAGCAAGGCCCACTACACCTTGTCATGAGTCAGGAACACATTTAAACTTGCTGATAAATCTCAAAAAACAGCTAATCTTGTCTACACCAGAGAACTGAATTTCTCAGTGCCTTTGAYTTTAAAATTTCTTTCCAAAAGTTTTTTTGTTTAAAATCAAATTCCAAAGTTTGCACTCTGAAATTGCAGCCTAAATTTTAAATTCAAAGTGTGTTGAGACTCACAATATGACTTTTGTGTCAATAACTCTCACGAATTTCCCCCCTACACAAAATAAGATTAAAAAACATGCCAGGAACAGGCCAGGAGCAAATAYACATCTTGGAAAAGTCTTTATGTGGTGATTTAACCATTTATAACCAGCATTCAATTGCAGGCCACAAGCTAAAATGTTTTTTTTTCCAAGTTCATCTGGCTGTGCACCGGGTTTGGAGAGACCTGAAATTTCAGCTTTAAACAAAAACATTGGGTAGCTTTGGCTGCTGGTGTAACTACTCACCAAACCACAACAGAGTGGGGAGGGAGCAAACACAATCCCCTCCTGCCTCGTACATGATCAGACTCATTAGGGAACATCTCAYTGCAGACAATGCTTTTCAAAAGGTTTTGTTCTCAAATCTTGCACTGAACTCTGGAAAATATTGATTTTTCAAGCTGCAAGTGGAGCAGACACTGTGGGTGTTTTCCTCTTTTCACARGGAACTGAGAGGATGAATCCAGTGTCCCTCTGGCCCCACCACCTCTCATCTGCTCAGAGGCTCCCAGCCCCSAAGGAACATGCAAATCACAAACACCTCCCTTTTTCTTCCTTAAATGCTGCAGCTCCAGTAACACTGACAGATAAAACTGCATTTCCTCAAAACACATCAGGGAAAAGGGCTGAAGCTGTGGTTATCCACACCATCTCCCAGGCCAAATCCTGGAGAAACACGGCAATAAAGGAATGAGCCAAGTGAGTTTAGAGACCACCTGAAAGCTCTTGGGGTTGTAAAAACAGGTTACCTAAAAGCAGCAGAGATATATGAAAGCAGGAAACACTTGCAGGGATATTTTMCCTGCAGAGTTTAACATTCAGAAAAAATTCCACTTGGTTCCTTTCATTGTTTGGTCCAAGTGCACCAAGGCAAAAGCTTTAATCACATAATTATACTCTCCACAGCATAATTTTGTCTACAGTGCACTATACAACAAGAGCCTAGAATTAAAGACAACAACAAAACCAGATTTTCAGTTCTGATCTGGATCTTAATTTCATTCTTCTGCATTTGCATCCAACTGTACAATTTCCAGCCTTCATTATAGCTTTATGCACACAATTTTTCTTTCACCTGCCCCTCCTTGGATGGAAAATAATTTAAGTGTCTGTAATTTGACAATGAACAAGCTACACCCTCCAGCAGCAGCACATGCAACTGCCCTTAGCCAGACAGCAGAGTTAAACCCTCAAAGACATTTTATGCTGTATAAACTTAGTTTCAATACTTTTTAAAAAAATCTTTGGTTTGATAATACCTGATGAGCAATCTGAGGGATACATGGGGAAGAMTCAGAATAATGAGATATCAGAGTTTAAAGCCAAGACATGGAGAGGCAAATAGGAAAAAGCTGTTTAATGTCTCTCCATCGTAAGACCCATGAGACTTTTCATGATATAAGAAGGAGCAAAGTTCAGAAGAAATAGAAAGAAACACAGAAAGTAGTTAAGCCATGGACTTCCTTATCAGAGGATGCTGTGGTTGTAAAATATTTGCTCTGGCTCCCAGGATTGTGGGCTAAGTCTGGGAAGTGAGATCAGCTGAAAGCTGTTGAATGTACAGAAACCCCCTCCAGAGCTGCAGGAAGTGGGGGAATATTTTTGGGAATATCAATGCTCTTTTGCTCTTTTCTGGTTTGTCCTGAACTGTGAGCTACTGCCCCAAAATCAGAACCTGAAAGTTTGCCAGTATCTCCCAGAACTGCAACCTTTTTCATAACTACAGGCAAACAAAGCAATTACATTGCACATTTATAAAATCATTATGAATTTTTACATATACACACCTCAGACTGTGTCTATCCTGTTTATATCAGAAATTAACACCACGTTTTCCAGTTTGATGGAGGTGAGCTTATAGCTTTGGAATYTGCTTTTTTTAGAGGTTGTGACTACTCAGAGCTTTGAAATTATTTCACATTTCCTTATAAAGGACACATGGGCTATCTTTTGATAAATAACTGTAGTTGGATTATATTTAACAGTACAGCCATAGAAATCATATCTAATAATTCATTGTCTCATACAATTATTCCCTGAGCTGCTGAGATGGGCTAGATCAACCCCTCAGTTCAAGTCCCAGTAGGCTAAAAATTTATATAGGCTCTTTGTTTATTAAAAAGAAGAAACAAACAATCCAAACCTCCCACAAAACGTCTCCATACTTTCACTTTTATTCCAATGCAAAGTGAAGTTTGCTAGAAGCAGACAGGCAGTTAGTTACTAAGTATCAAGCTCACATATTATCTGTAGTTGTAGACAAAACTTGGTGAATGCTCCTTAAAAAAGACACATATTGTAACACCAGTTACAGTTTGGGCCTAAAAACCATGTTTTTTTATTCCCCACCAATGCTGCAGTTTGGGGACAAGATGAATGAAGACTCTCAATTTTCTGAATTAATCAAAAGAARCATTCTAGTTCTCTCCATTAGATGCAAAAAGGTCCCAGGAAGCAGATGCTGATAGCCTCTAAGCTGTCAGTTTAATACCACTCCATTTCTATAGCACACTAATGTTACACTCAAGATGTCCTGGGTACTGATCCTGCCTTACAAAACTCAGGCATCTCATTCAAAACACAAGGAACATTTAGAATGACAAAAATATTCCTACACTGGTGTTTTGCACAAACCAACTTGCTCAGGGACATGCTGGGTCTTGCCTGAAATACCTCAGCACCACCTACAGGAAACCAAGAGCTCAACAGCACCTCTGGAACCCTGGAAATTGRGCTGGAATTGCAGAAATCTGCAGGCACTTGGAAATGCTGGTTGGAGCAAATCTCAAATGGAGAGCTGAGCTCCATCTGCAATTCAAAGTGCTCTCTCCACKCCACTGGCTGCTCTCCTACAGCCAAGGGCTATGCCAGAAGTCTCTGTAAATTTAAAACAGCACATTGTCACTGCATGCATTTGAAGGTTTACCCTTCCCAGCAATYCCTTCCCCTTTAAAAGCAACAGACCAAATCTTTCCATCTTCCCTCTGAGGTCATTCGCACTCCTCCACACTCTCTAGGTGGCCCAAATCCCTCTTGAAATGTGGTGTCCAAAACTGGATAAAATATTCATTACAGCAGGGGTTTTACAACTGTGAGAATGATTGGTTCCCATCTTACAGACAAGTCTTTTRTTTTATGCATTCTTGTCTATCTGTTTTTTTCTGTAACCCATGTCACTTGTGAGTAACCCTCACTTCACAGAAGACCACACACACTTCACTCCAGAGCTGCTACCACATGGGAATAATTAATTTACCTTGGACTTGAAGAAAAAAAAATGTATTTCTAGAACCCTTCTTCTACCTCACTAAAAATAATTTTAAATCTATGCCTGCCTGGCAAAATGCTGCAGCTCCTCTCAGCTGATCTGACTGCAGGTATAACAAGCATATTTTCTATATTCTCATATGAAGTATTAATGGAAAAACTCTGTAGAACACCTTCTTATCACCCATCCAGACAATGAAACTGTCACCTCCTCTTCAAGTACAACTTTCCAATCAGGCATACAGGCACTTCAGATTTTTACCAACACCTTATTTCTTACATTTGCATTTGACAGTGTCATGCAAAAGTGTCAAAAATCTAAATAGCAACACTTCTCCCCGGTTCACAATGCCTAAATGAGGAAGAAACTGCCTTGTTTAACATCTGGGGGCAGCACCAGAGTGTGTTTCTCCATGGTCTGCCTATTCCTCCTTATCTCTGGGAAGGGTTACATCAGCACAGCCCAYGAGCTCAGACTCTGTGTTGCTTCAGTCACAGCTAAATGCCACAAGATGTCACTGTGTCCCTAAAATGTTTGGAAACACRGTCAGGCTTTACCCAGTCATAAATACATAGCCCTGGAGAAACAGAAAAATATAACCTGACTATTGGAATTACAGGCTGCATAAAAAKTGACTTATTGTAAAGTTTAGTACAGGTTTTGTGCAAGGTTATGGAACAAGGTACCGCATTCCTTCAAAACTGATTAAATGGTTCAGGGTCCCAGTGCCTTACCTTAGAGAGGTCTGATCCCCTTTGCACAAGAGAAGCCACAACCCAGGGAGGATAAAGGGTTTGTCTGATATCACACAAYGTGCCCTGAGGAGTTCCAGCCTGATTCTCCAAATCCCTGACAAACACCCCAACAAAGGGGCACAGCATCTTCTCCCCACCCACAGGTTCTGAGCCCTTCTTTGTCCAGGCCTTTCTCCAAGCCCAGCTGGAGGAGCCTGTGGGTCCAAGRAGGCAGCACTGACAGGCACAGGCTCCTGCCCAAACTCAGCACCAACCCCATACTGCTTTGAAACCTATGCCAGAACTTCTAATCCAGTCAAGAAACTGCATGTTACACGTTGCACTCTGCTGGAAATCTCAGCATCTCATCCAAATTTGCTGTCCAGACATGCACAAATGGAGCCAGGGCAGTGCCTGACTTGCCATCAGTGCTAATGCAGCATTTTGCTCTTAGCTGCATCTTAGAGCACTTCTGCACAGCTGTGATATCCATGTTATGACACTCSTCAGTTCTGCAGTTCACTTGTCATTATGTGCCTCCGTGCTAAGGAAGAAAATAATAATTCTGAAAGCTGTGACAGACATCACCAACTTGGAAGAACCACAAGATATCAAAGACAGACCAAGGTAGTGATTAGGAGAGCAGTTCTGCAAACATTTCACCTGRCTGCCAGGCTTCACATCGCTCTGCCTGGTTTAAAACCCAAACCCCAATGATTAACAGCATGAGGAGGTGGATAATATCCTAAGGAACACAGCCAGGAGGTTTCAGTGAGAAACAGCACACTGTGAGCTAGGACTAAAATCCAACTTACCTGTCGTACGTCTCTTTGAGATCTCTGGCCAGTTTGCACTTGGGTAGGATGTGATGAAAAGGTGAYTGGGGCCCTTCTGTGGCTATGGAAAGTTTCAAAACAARAAAGCAAACAACTGATTTCAAATCAAAGAGATTCCTCTTCCCCCCCCACTGGGTATCAACTTGTATCTTAGGGACAGAATTTGTATCTTTTTAATCTACAATTATCTTTCAAAGCTTTTACAGTAACTCAAGTTRCATGTTAAAATAATAACAGTGAATTGTTGCCAACTTCTGCTAAACCTCAACTCAGTCAAGCACATGTAACCGAATTTGACAAATGATGATTTGAAATGCTTTGTTTTTCTACATGTTAGCTTTAATTTTTAATGCTTGCAGCAAGATGATGCATCACTGTCAGACAGAGTTCACCTTAAATATTACATATTATTATAGCACATTTTCCAAGTACAGTCAGGAAAAATGCTCTGTAACTATTTGTTAATCACAGCATGTAAGAGTAAAGCCACCACATAAGAAGTCTGGTGACTCAGCAGACAGCATTAAAGCATGGAAAACCTGCTCTGGGTTGGGTGAAGCAAGCCAGATATGAGCTCCTCCACAACAGGCTGTCAAGGAGAGGCAAACATGATGGCTCAGTGCACAGTCTCCAGGGATTGTGCTGAATTTAACCAGCAAGGAAAGCAAAGAAACTACTTCACCTCTAAGGCTCACATCTCTGCATAGGGACAGTGAACATGGCCAAGGCGAAAAGCATTCAAAAGCTGTCAGAATGCCAAAGAGCAGCRAAACTTGTTCATACTACAAAAGAAGGTACAACCAGCACTTCAGTGCCAAAGTGCTCCTGGASAGCCCCCCTGCTGTTCAAAGCACTCACTCTCTGACATGGCAGACACCTCGTCCTGGATGGCCAGGATGAGCTTGGCCTCCCTGGTGAGGTACTGGCAGCGGCGCTCCTCGTGCTGCAGGACGATGGCGATCCTCCGGGACAGGTTGTGCAGGCAGTTGATCACGGACGGATCCGCGTTGGCCTGCGGGGACACAGGGAACAARCAGCCACTGAGCCACAGGCACCATGGAACTACAGTGATGATGGGTATGCAGTCTAAYGATTTCCCATTGATACCAAAAATCAGTCTCTCAGCTGGCAAAAACTCATAATTTTCTCTACCAGCAACCAAGCAGAAGCTCAGAGATGTCCAAATGTATACTCACAGATTTCTAGGCTTGTCTATGTGCAGTAAAGGGACACCACACCTGGAGTGTGACCCTCTTACCTGGTTTATTTTTCCAGCTGTTAATGGGCTTTTTACTATCAGAGAGCAAAAAACTCAACTTCACACAGTGAGACAAGAAAGTGTCAAGCTATTTGAAAAGGCAGAATTATCCCAATGTTCAGGTTAAACTCCCTGGGAGCACAAGGGCTGCAGTGCCTCTAACATGCCCCACTCACTCCATGTTGCCACACTGGTGTTTGTTCTACCGACTCACAGACAGTAATCTGGTAACAATTACCAGCTCATGACCAACAATTTCATCCCAAATCAGAATTAATTTGGATTTGCACTCCCAAAAAATTCACCAATATGGCTTTTTACTAACACAACATTTATGAAAGTCCAAGAAARAAAGTGCTGGAAAAATCTATCATGTCAGTACAGATGACAAGGCGGGGGAGGGGGGCTCAGTGGCTCCAGCATGAGTCAGCAGCTGATTCATGTTTGTTAAGACATTTAAAGGAATTTAAAGTTCTGGCAAGTGACCACTTGGCACAGAAACCAGCAAACGGTGACTCATGAGTTTTTTGACTCCACTGTTCCTGCTGAGTCACGCCAGGTTGGTCACCCTGAAGCTCAAACACAGCAGGATCAGTGCTGATTATGACACTTGGGCTTTTGCCTGCTCTGTCTGCCCACTGCAGATGGATGCTCATCTTTATCTCTGAGGGCCTCCACCCACCCCCTGCACTGCACTACTCCATCTTAGGAAAAAATTTCCAGTTGCCTCTTGCCCAGCACTTTCCAGAAGCCTGACTGCTCCCTGTGAACTCAGAGTGTCTCATTTGGCAAAGGGATTTGGTGCTGCATCACACTCACAATTACATCAGTATCATCACATGGCTGAAGGGCAAAAAAAGCAAGTTTTCCTAGAAGCACTAGAAATTAGATTCCAGAAAAATGTGRGCTAGTCTTCACTGCACTTCAGCAAACTCTTGTGAATGAAAGAGCATTGGTTTCAACACTTCTGCTGCCACATGACTCACTGTGCATCARTGTGTGTGTTTGCAGGTGCATCTACACACATTTTCCTGAACGCAAAGCACATGGCTTTAAATTCACCAAAACAGTATCTCTTAATATGTGAAATATAAAATCAACTCCTCTATTGCAATTTCAGCACTTCCTAACCTAGGAATGTCCCAAAGCACAGTGGCACTGGATCCCCAGCAGAACTCAGTGAATGGTTTCCTGCTTGATTCACACTGGAGTAATTGCTTTGTGTGAAAACTTGCTCCTCAACTGAGAACAAGCCATCCAGACTGGAGCCATATCCTTGTCAACACTGGAAAGCCAGTGGTAAGAAAAGTACTAATGCTAAAAGCAAAACAAAAACCAGGTCTTTTCCCAGGCAAGGAGCTGGAGGTTTTTAAACCATGACATTAGAGTCAGTYGAGCAAAAATCAACCACTTCTAAAAAGAAAACTCTTCCAGCTCCCTCTTTTTATTTTAAACGATCTGTGGACTGTGAAAAGAAAGCCAGAGCTCAGAAATCTAATAATGCTTGAACATAATGAAATTTCTAGGGCTTTATATCACCTAATTAGCCAAGCCAGGAGCCCTTAACAGCAACAACTCATCAGTAGAGGAAGCCTGAAAAAAATTCCAAGCAGAAACTATGTATTTGTTCCAGATTTTTGCTGAGCATTGAAACCTCTTTATTCTTCACTTGTACCTTCTTCTCATTTAGCTGCTCAGCTGCTCCCTGGCACTCTCCCTTTGCAGTGACCTCACTGCTGAGAGGAGGCAGCTTTCAAACACTGTCCATTAATCATAAAACAAGCCTGGAGTGTGAGCTGACTGCATTCCCTCATGTATCCAAAGCACATGCCACTGTTGGATGGAACAGGGACAGTCCTTACCCTTAGTGCAAACACCACGTTGAACAGAATCATGGTGGGCATCTCTCTCTTTGGTGAGGGGTCAGTTTTGGATACCTGAAAAATATTTTTTTAAAAAATGTCATTGGTTAGTGTCARTTGGAGTTGGCAATTWAAAAAAAAACAACAGAAAAAGAAAAGTGTTAGTTAAACAGCAAGCCGAGAAAAGAGAGCAGACAAATCAAATTATATCATCGAATATGACTTGCAAAAATAAAACTGTTATTTTTTTTAATTGAAGTGTCACAATTACTGTACAATACTGCCTTACAATTTGTACAATACTGCCTTAGCTGGGCAGCTGTGAAGACTTAAACCAAAGCCTTTTGGTCATGAGCATGGAAGTGCGTGTCAGTTAAGACAGCACTCTTCCTTAGGGTCTCTGTTATTACATTTAGAATCATTAGGGACCCTAGGTTTAAATTCCATAGCAAAACTTTCAGATACACTGTCAACTAAACAGAATTCCAGAGCTCTCATCTCAGGCTACACCTATTCCTTCCTTTCCTAAAATCCCCATTCAAATTGCATCCTGTAACAAGCTGCTGTTTTTACCAGGAAAAATATGCTCCAAAATAGCAGTGCTAAAATAAAAGGTTTGATTTTTCCCTTCCTGCAGGATTTCAAACACATTCYCCAGCCTCTCTAGTCTCTCTGCAGCACACAGTTCCATCCCTAAGGCAGATTCAGACTTTCCAGTGAGGAGAAACAGCTGGAGCTGAGACAAGCAAGTGGAATTTGCACAGCCAGACCAACAAGTCCAAAGGAAGCACGTGTCACCACAAGATGGAGCACAAAATACAGAGGACATTCCCACCTCCCCTGCAGCTCCCTGCTCCACACCCACCCAATCCCAAGAGCAAACAGCTGGAGCCTGCCAGGCCAAACAAGAGTTGGTCTCTACCCAAAGTAWGTGCAGCACCTGAGCCAGGGCAAACAAAGCAGCATCTGCCCTTCCCAACAGGTTCCAAGCACCAGCAATGAACTGCTTGGTAGTGAACTCCAAAATCTGACTGCTTTCACTCTGGAGTCGCAAAAATTAGAAAAACTAAAAGGTGATACATATTTCTGGGKTTTTTTTTTTTTCTAAAGTGAAAAYTACATTCTATCAAAAAGGCAGTGATGGGAGAGTRGTAAAGGCAGTTCACTGTGTTTATCTGCTGTGGAGTTACAGATTCCAGGACATCTTGTGAATTTCCAGGTATAAAGAGTGATCCTATTCCTTCCTTAAAATCAAAGAAACAACCACCACTAACGTCATTTGGGATGCAGGCTAGACTTTGTACCACCTTCTGTCCAGAAAAAAAGAAGAGAAGACTAAGCTGGGAAAGAAAATGCTGAAGGAATTTGAAGAATTCAGCACACTGCTACATAAAAGGCAATCTGGCACACAGGATTAAATATTTGTGCTCTTGTAACTCCTGAATYTCATCTGAGTAAGAATTTGCTGAGCTGTCCTGTGGATTAATTTACTGCAGTATGAACTCTGAGGAAACCCAAAGCAGAGGCTGCTGGGTTACTCCAGTCCCTGCCTGTGCTCCATGGAAAAGCAGCTCCATCTGGCTTCCTCCTAACTGCAGGAGGGTCCCAGATACAGACTGACATGAACCAGCAGAGATGGCTGCCACATCTAGAAGATTCTGGTCTCTAGAAAGTTCTGGGGTGCCTCCTGGGGTGATAAGACACACCCAAAAAGAAGATCGTTCAAGAAGTATATTAAAAAAAAAGTGCTTACAGCTCTTTATAACTCTGTTTATTTACCCAGATGCAATTTTATTYAGACAGATTGAAATGAAGTGACATTTCATGCAATTAGGATTGAACTCAGTGGAAAGAGTGCATAATAATATGTGGTGAAAAAATGCAAATACAAGTTTTCAACCTTTTTTATAGCACATTTAGGAAGTTGGGCCTTTCTMCTCCCACTCCTGGCTGGGGTCCAAATACAGACCTTGGGCCTGGTTCATCACTTGCCTTGTCTGGGGCTACTGATGGACTTGAACAGCTTGGGCACACTTGAATTCTGTCTTCCAAGACAATTTAACCTTTCAGGACTGAGTTTTGGGGATCCTCCATGACATTTCCTGTAGACTCACAACTGAGTTTCCAAAGTAGCATCTTTTGCTGCTTTAGGCCAGCTACTTGCTGGGATTAAAGCAGTCTGGTCCTCTAAATATCAAGCAGCAGTTACCAACAATCTGTTTCCACTTCTAATTTTAGCTAGAAAGCTAGATAGAATTGGCAGGCAGACTTTTTTCCCCCTGAGAAAAGGAATGACTTAGCAAATTTGATGAAAAATGAGACCAAAGCAGTTCAGTGGCAGGGATCAGAGTTGGACTCAGAAGTTTCCAAAAGCCTACCTTCATTCCAGTTGATCTGGAAGCAGGAATAGGACATGGAATATTTGGCACACAGAAGTATCTGAATTCTCTCCTAGATTTRAACAGGGCCTTTTACACAGCCCAGGTAGCAAATTGCTCTCATTCTAAGCACCTAAAACCTAGGCCATGGAGGAAGCTCTCAATGCAAACAACAGCCTGACTTTGTCCACAAGAAAATTTTAKATCTCTTTCAACATCCTGTATATTCCATTTGGGCCTTGGGGATAATCTCCAGCCTCAGGAAGAGTTAAGAGCCAAACAAGGCTGASACAGCTTTTAGCATTTGTGAAGGTTTTGGGTGGTGTATTTTTTCAAACTGCCACACTAATTAGAGGTGCTAAAAGCTAACTCGCAGTAACTAAAATAGTGAGRAACAGCTTTTTGAGTTGGAGTAAAACCAGTTCTCTATACCCACGCTGCTTCTCTACAGTAACCAGAAGAATTTCTGTGATCACTGACACAGTTCCCTCAGTTTGTCACTCACTGCATTTACCTGGAAGTATGTAAAGACACCTTGGAGCATCAGAAAGTAAAAACAGGATCAAAAGCCAACGTGTAYGTTCTGAATTCCAGGTTTCCTCACTAAAGCCAGGCAGTTTGTCAAGAAGGAAGGTCCCCAGAGGGGATCTCACACCATACCTGCCCRAGGGCATGCTGCAGCAACGTGGGATGGCCAACAAAGCGAACATTATCAATCTTCAGTTCAAACTTTTTGCCACACATATCTGACTTGGTAGCCAAAATTGTTGCCAGGATGACATCTGAAAACCTTGAAGAGCAGAAACAGAAGTTACTACAATTTTCAAAAGGCACATCCCCAAAATTTGGAGGAATATATATATATTCCTCCAAATACAGATATATTTAACTCGGAAGTTTTTAAGGCTTTGTAAATTGTGACTAAATTGYTGTACCTGGAGCACCACCAATTATGGAAAATTAAGGACCCCTAAATTACATGTCTCAGATCATCACAATTATAAAACAGGAAGCATTCACGACAAAGACTGCAGGGTCATGCTCATTTAATTACATGCTCAGCAAAATACATTGAAAAGATTAGATGCAGTTTGCTTAAATATAAAAACAGCTGGAGTTAGCCATTGCCTGGATTTAGCTGCAGGTTAATGAACTTACTAAGCAACTACATACTGACACAGCCTGTCACTCAAGCACAACAGAGATCTTTAAGCCACCCAGTATGGCAGAGGGGAAGGCAAGAAAGAGCTGAYTCAATTAGAAGAAACACAGCCAATGCTTGTCCTTCCTTTCCCAAAGCTCATCAGTGACATTCCMAGTTCCTCACTTAACAGATCTCAAGCTGTGGTCAGCACACCAGTGGCACCTCCCAAGAGCTGCCTGGCCTCACCTGGGCTTTCTCAYTTGATACAACTCATTCATGACAGGGCAGGCCCTTCCCAATGCCAACCATGGTGTAACTGAATTGCTCTGCATTCTGGTGGGAAGGCAGCAGCTCTGAGACAGCAGGGCAAGTATCTACAAGGGGTCTGCCCAGTAAAACACAGCTACTGCYGCAAAACCAGCTAAAAATCCAGTGTGACAAGGAATTCCACAACTGCTCACACCAATGGCCTCACAACACTCTCCCAACACTTGTTTTCCTCAGGGTGTCTCCTGGGACAGGGAAGCTCAAACCCCCAAGGAAGAGGACCACAGCTGCTGGAATAAACTTGTTGTTCTAGAATAGGAGCAGTGCAAGACTTGTTATTAACAAATCCTTTTCTCATCTGATTTCCCAGAGGCTCCTATTTAACCAAATTAATTCCAAAACAAATTTCTGATGAGAGTCTTTTTTAAGAATGAAAATGTTTATTTCATTTTCTGTATTTACACCCAGGGATGTGTCCCCCTGCCAGACCATCCCCCCCTCAACAGGCAGGTATCCCAGATAACCCAGTATCACTCAGAGAGGAGGGCAGGCATGGGTGTGTGCTGTGCTCACCTTATCTCTTGGCCACAAATGAGCCTTCCGTGCCCAGAGAAGAAATTAATGTACCTTAGTCCTGCTTCCCTCTGAGTTGTGGAGTACTACAGAAATTAAGACAAATGCACACAGGGACACAGGGAATTTCTTTTATTAGGCTTACAAGTACTGGAGACAAAGGACCAYGCAGGTCCAAACTGCCAAAGCCCCTGGTGTTTGTACAAACAGTTCATCTTGACTCCTGCCCACTGCTTGTGTTTGGTTTATGGAAGGAGCAGCTGTGAACAAATTTCCAAATCCCTGACTGCTCTGCTCCAAACTCCAAGCTAAAGGCAAGCAGAGCCCTGCCTGAGAGTCCYGGGGCCACTCAGACCATGCTCCTCAGCCACTGGGCTGCACAACTTGGGAAGTTTGGGAGAAAAGGGCAAAGCGACCTCAAAGAGGATCAAAYGATCCATAGTCCCTGGAGATGACATTCAAAACAGGGAAAAAAGTCACCACGACAGCAGTGAGCTTCTCCTCCTCTTTTCACCCTGTTCAGTTGCTCGTTGATAGGCTCATCTTGGAGCCAGGAAGATGGAAATAGCAATGGATCCAAAAGCAGCATATGTTTTGGGAGGCGAAGGGAGAAGGAGGGCAAACTAGAAAATGTCAGTTTCCTGATAAAAAATTAGTTACCCTTCCCTCCTCCAGTCTWGGCAAAGGATACCTGGGAGCTGATAAACTGATCATTACGATGACTTTCACAAGGAATTACACCAGCAGATCTTTTAACAGATAAATGTGGTGCCAAAGGTAGGAATTGAGCAGTTTCTCAGGAGAGCTCACGACACCRACAGCCCTGTCTGCCCCGCCTTATATGTGGCTCTTTGGAGAGGAGGAGATTAAAAGGATGATTTTGGGAAGTCCTCAATATCTTCTGCCTAGCAGGKACTTCTCTGTCTGGGAGAGAACTGGAACTGCAGCCAGATGACATGCTCAGGGACAGATAACCCTGACACAGGGTTATAATTTTGACAATTCTTAGGCCTCAGGACAACAGGGAAATCAAGGGACAGCAGATGCATTATTCCCATTACTTCATCACCTCATCTTATAAAATAACACTTTTACTTTCAATAATTTAATACACATTTTCCAGWCTCTGGGGTATATTAAGATGACCTAAAACCATTTTTTTGTCAGAGCCCAAGAGTTTGTTAGAAGCACATTGGGTTTCACAGTTGGGCAGTAAAGTCCCTTCTCCTTTAATGAATTAGTGTGAGCATTGTGAATTCCAGAGGGAAGCAAATCTCTTCTGTACTAAGGAATTCAGCAGGCAGGAAGTAAATACAATAAACAAAAGCTTTGATTTGCCCAAAATATCTTACCACTACTATCCCAAACATAACATAGCAACAGCACACTGAAAAGAAGGAGGGGGAACCCAAACACAAATTCATTTTTTCCCCAAAAATGGAGTGTAACTTTTTATATGCCACAGGAATTCAAAGCATGGTTTTTATAAAGACTTTTTCTTTGAAGTAGTTTAGAACAGAATCTGAGTATCTGGGTGGGGCTTATGTTAAGCAGGGACTAGAGATGCATTTTTTTTTTTGACTTCTGGGGTCCTGAGTTAAGCACTTTCCCCTCCACAAGTTTAATCATCCCATTTAGCTGASTGGGGTACCAAGAACAAGTAACCAGCACAGCTGCTCAAACCTGGGTCCTCCAAAGAGCTCTCCATCATKACCCTGGGATTAAATAGTTCACTCACTGATCTGTACTTTTAAGCCATTTCTCCTCAGAAAGCAATTTGGTTTAGTGCTCCTTGTTGGAATAACTACAACGCCAAGGCTATATTTGTTGCATTCCCAGAGACTCCCAGCTTTTCCCAATTCATAGAAGGGAGAGTGCCACACCCATTCTGGGTTCCCTATAGGAAGCACAGAAATGTTAGTAGAACCTTTGTAATTATCCTGGCACAAACCTTTAGCAAYACATTTCCTACAGACACTGTGATTTAGCATATAATTATTTCATCATTCAGTGTAAAACAGAAACCAGAAACAAAAGCACAATTAAAAGGATGGTGAGAAAAGAAAGCCATTCTAGACAAAGGTGATTGTTTAGAACGTTTGGTCTTACCCTGAAACCAATTGCTCATCAGTTAGAGGACATTGGTCTCTGAAATGGGAACATGGCCATAAACACAAAACAAAACACAACAAARGAAAATAAACGAGGCAAGTACACAAAATACAAAAGAAAAAAAAAAGAGATAATATTAAAAACCAGGATGAACTATTAAGGGTTAAACTCCTGTAAAGGAAATATAACTGTTGAGAAGAGTCAAAAGTTAATGGAAGGTGGATTCCAGGGATATATTGCAGGCTTAGATTGACAACATGGAGAAAACAGGCTGAGGTAATTTAGTCTTAGGGCTAACAGCAGCTGCTGCCATGTGTTTTSCCACAGTACACAGCATTTATGGAGCCATGGCACTTTAAAATTCATGCTTACCTTAAGAGAAACAGARGGCATTGCAGTCTGATTTAGAGCAGATCCTAAACCTCAGTTTCTTTCCTAGACTRTTACTATCATTTTCACCACAGAACCTACCATACCACCCCAAATGACCCACATTCTTCCCAGTTGGTGCTTCCATGCCCCCAAAACCCGGGAAAAGAAGATGCCCAGTGTTTATTGTTGCAGAATTCTGCAAAGGGCTTGGTACACAGAGCCACCACTGCTCCTGCAGGGATCCACATAGCAGGTACAAGGCTGGCCAGACTCACAGCACACATGTGAATTCCTTCTCTGCCCCTCTGCGTGCCGCAGACAACAAGCACAGCTTAGGAAGTGAAGGCTAAAAAAGGTTTCGAGGCAAAGAACCCAAAATCCTTCTTTACAGCAGGTGCACAGAGCAGGGCTCTGTCAGCCCTGTACTCATTTTTATATCAGAAACACACTGTTTCCATTTTAACAGTCAACTGCCACTTCCCCACCAACTAACAAGATTAAAAAGGACTTGTTTCTAAAACAATTTCACAAATGTACTGAAAAATGAATCTGATAAATATATTGTTCATAGAAAGGGGAGACAAACTGAAAAACTCCAACTAATACAAAAAAAAACCCCTCCAATTAATACAAAACACAGCCGATTTCTGCCAGTCACGTTGAAAAGAGAACCTAGAGAACATAAATGACAAAMTAAACTAAGAGGGTGACATTACAGGAAGGGTGTTTCAAGGAATGAGGGGATGAATGGAAAAGCAAAGGCTTACAGAAAGGAAGCCTTTCAGAATAAACACAAGGAAGAACATTGGAGTCCAGTGAAAGAGGAACAGAGGAGACAGAAATGTTATCACAGGAGAACTACTGTTTGTTAGAAAGGGACATTCAAATCCTTGTTTGTCAGTAACTCCAGGCTTTTTATTACAGAAGCATGTGGCCAATTAATGACATCAGTGCTGCCAAATTTGCTAAACCTCCTTCAGTTAGTCAGTTATGCTACTAAAAATGCAAAGTCTGCTGCARCATATGTTACTATATGCACCTCTTCATTAGAATATTTGCTTGCTGACTATCACACCTTCAGAAAAACTAAAAAAAAMCAAAAACATTTCAAAGCAATTTAACAAAACATTATCTTACGGCTTCAAAGGAGTAACTGCCTCATGTTTTTTTCAGGGGACAGAAAAAAAGACTGGCAGGCATCTCCAYAAACATTGGGAGGGGGTGTATTCCTGGTAAAACACTCAGAAACTGAAGGGTGTTTTTGRAAAGTGCAAATGATGAAAGGCTGAGAAAATGCCAACAAAGAGACACACTTGACAAGCAATTTGTTTTGACAGTGACAGTCTTCTGAATACCTTTTTGTTGCATGGCCACCATCAACACACCTCACTGCTGCTGCTCARCTTGCTTTTAGCAGGAAGTAAAATATGTATTCTGAAGACCCAAACACAGCTCCACTGAGTAGAAATTAATACAAACAAACATATACCAGTAACCTRGAGAGAGCATTATCATAAATAGGCTACCATTGTCTATAAAAAAACCAAAAAGCATAACAATGACCAGGAAATTGAGACCAGAGGCTAGAAGAAATCCAATTATCTATACAAATATGATATATGGAAATGAGTTAAGGCACCTAAACTGATCTAATTTTGTCCTTTCTGAGACCATGAAGAAATACATACACTCCAACTGYTCTAGGAAAGGTCAGCTCCAAAGTAACTGACCTGGGTTTCAGTAGCTCAGGCAAAAAGCAACAGTAACCCTTAMCTAGGAGACAATTGGTGCTAGTTTGTTAATAAATTAATGACATACATCCAGTATAAAAAAGGATAAATCCAACCCTCCTAAGAACTATTGCAGCAACAAGATAAATCTGAAATAACTTTTGTACWGAGCGTGCAGTGGGAAAAACCCAACCCTACAACATTATCAAACTTGCCATACACCACCAACTCAACCTACCAGTCTGCCCACGCCACAGCCTCAATTTGTGCCACCAAAAACACTCACAGATGCTACTGACATGCAGGGATTTAAAGGAACCTTTTCCCAACTTTTCCTTGAAGAGGTCTTCCAAAAATAATACAAAACCACTTCATAAATTATTTTTATTGTTGACAACTCCAAATGGAAAATCATCACCACCAGAAAACAGTGGACTTCATGTTGGTGAAATCTCTGTGCACTAGGTGTCTCAGAAAGGGAACTGCTGCCCCACTGCACTGCAGGAGAAGGATCTGACAGGGATGGAGCTGCCACTCCAGAGGGAATRGCTCTCACAAAACCAGTTGCTCCACTCCTGGCCTCTCCAGCCTGATCTTCAATGGAAACACACAAACACATTCCAAACTGCAGCAACAATTCATAACATTGGTGAGGAAAAAGATCAATGATGATATTGGTTTTACATAAAGTTAAACTGCTTTCCTTTCCCAGCTTATAAATCAGGTGCATCTCCCTCCCTCCAAGGGATCTGCACTTTTCTGCCTCCACTCTCCCCTTAGAACCTTTTCTACTCCAAGGCATCAACTTCTGTTACTTTTGAAACTGTCTGACAGCAATTGAAGTTTGAGCAATCTGTTGCCCAGTTTCAAAGATACCTTTTTGTTTTCTGCTGAAAGAAGCATCTGTGTACTTAAATGTGCATTTTTTTTCCATCTGTATTAGTGAAAAATACTAACTTGGCCAACAAGGTCTAATAAAAATTAACAGTACTAGGTATATAAGAAGCATCARCATGTTCTACTAGCAAGTACCACTGAAGAGGATACATTTAGCTGCTACATCAGTTGTGTGGGATGCAGAGGACTTAAGAGTGATGATTACACTGCTGTTGGGRAAAAGCTTTCCATAAACAAGCTGGAAACAAACACAATTTTGAAAGGGACTTTTGAATTTCAGAAAGCATTTCATGTAAAAAGCCCCAGCAGTGTGCCRGATTCCAATATCAAGCATACAGAAGAAGCAACACTTTCAGGGCAACAGAACTGCTGCTCCTCTTCTATTTCCCTTTCATGGCTGATACAGACTGATCTGATCAAATTCTTTTCAACACCAGAAGTTTAGTAACAAATACCTGACCRGGAGATTAGGTATGAACTTTCAAGTCCAGCATTCTGGACACCACTACAATGAAATAATCTAAATATTTTTTTTTAGGTTATATGTCGATCTGCTTAAATCAATCTACTTAAAATCTCTTTTCAGAAATTTCAAGCAGTTTTCTCATCTGACCATCATTTGAAATCACGAAAGATTTCCCTGCATCATTGCAGCAACCAGTTAGTGTATCACACTAATTCAGCAACACAGGCAACATCCAACAAACACAGCCACACATTAAGTCCTTTGTCCAACCTGCCAGAATGGCAGAGGCAACAAAAATCAGTGTCAGACAGAAGATGGTCTCATTCCAACACCATCTCAATCTATCTAGGGAAATACTGGAGCCYGAGGTTTGAACAGCAACCAGCAAAATCCCTGGGAAAACCAGCAGATGTGTGAACTGAGCCCTCCTGCCATCCACAGCCCAGTCTGAAACCCCAATCACCAGCTCCCAAACATATAAATGGTTTGCTCCACTGGAGCTGTGCCTGTCCATACTGCACTCACTGCACACAACCAAAGGCTGCATTTGAAGGCTTCAAAGGCATCAGAAGAGGCAGGAGATACAAATGACCTCAAGCAAAATGTGTTTTTCTAAGATCCCAGTTCTGGAAAACCAAACTAACTGATGATTTACGGTCATGTGGACAATTTTAGTTTCAGCTAAACCATTCTCTGTCATAAAATTAAAAACAAGCTTACATTTCTTTTTGAGGCAAAAGTGATGACGACTTATTTGGTAGTCTTATATAAGAGAAAAGCAGCAATTACCCCCTTTTATTAATATTGGAGACTAAAATACGTATCACGAAAATTATCTGCAACTGAACTATGGGCCAACAGACAAAAAAACTTTTTTACTCCCAGACTTCTCTCATATCGAGTAATGATAAATTTAGAACTATGCAGCAGATTTCAGATGCGCTACAAAAACTAATTAGAAGGTCCACACACACATACTGAACACCACACTGCCTGTTTTCAGTGTGTTTGTTATCCACTGATTTCCTGTACTTAAAAAAACTCTCTTCAAGTCTCAGTTTCCTTTTGAGCCACTGTGTCACTCCACTGACACAAGAGCAGCTCTATCTGGAGAAACAAATTAGTTATTCATTAGTGCACAGCAATTTCATATGACCATTATATGAGCTAGGGAAGAAGTTGAGGCAACTGAATAATATATCCAGTTAGAGGTAGGCAGGTAAAGGAAAGTGGGATTTTGCCAAAAGATTGATACTCCTAGTTTTGAAAGGGTAATATTGCCTTTCTAATRAGCACAGAATACCTGACCAATACCTCAGCCAGAAAACAACAGATTCAACAGCATTCCCTCATAGACAGTCCTCATTATTAAGCACTAAGTTGTTCATAACTTGATAATAAAACATTTTTTGCCAGGTTGTCTTCCATACAGTCCACAAGAATGTGCCTAGGAACTAGGAGACAAGAGAGCAGGAGGCTGTCTGTCCTCTGTTTCAACCTTTTAGGTCAGGAGAAATGTTTTCCCTCCTACCTGGAGTCCCCATCTTGATCTTCYGTGGTGTCACCAGAGCCATTCACAGCATATCGACTCCTTGGTTTGTCTGAAGCAAAGAATGAAGATAAATTTACCCAAGAACTATCTCCTTAATGTGTGTTTGTATTTCTAGTCTCACTCAAAAGAATATAAAAAAAATAGAAGAGGTTTTATTCTTCAGGGAATGAAGAGGAGAAAGTGAAACATTCACAGAAACTGACACAGGTAACAGGTTACAGTTCAAGAGTGAAAAGTAAAATTCTGACCAATGCATTCTCCTCATTATTGCTCTGGTTTTGGGACAATTACAATGCTTCTGCAGTCACAGAAAGGGAAATCCTTTACCAACAGAAAGCAGAAGGGGGTTGGCAGGGAAGCAGTCAGAAAAAAAAAAAAAAAAAAAAAAAAAAAAAAGAAAAAACACCCCAACTTTTCTGGTTTTACCTAGAAGAATTAAAAGGAATTTAGAGATGATTCTCTTTTCATAAATTGACTCACAACCTAAGCAGGGGAGTCAAAACTCTCTGGGCACACAGCAGTTAGCACACAATCCCAATCACACAGCCTCCTCACACCCTTAGGCCCTGCACTGATAATGGTCCCAGCCCAGCCCCAGGCACTGTCCTGGATCAGGACCCACAGAGCAAGAGGCACAACCAGCGCAGGCACCTGACAGTCCTGTTTGCCAGGAGAAATTAAACMTCCCCCAGCCCACTTTTCAACACCACAGACTAAAGTTTCATCATTTCTACCTATTRTTGGTTAAAGCTTATAGCATCTTCTGAATCCCTTCTTCCAAACCAGTGCYTTCCWTCTCATYCTGCCTGCTCCTTCCTCTGCAGCTCCCAAACCCTGTGGGATTCACCTGCCCCAGGAACAGCCATAAGGCACCAGRGGGACAGTGACACCTGGCACTAATGTGGCTCAGCTGATGTGGGATGTGAGGGGGTCCCAGGATTACCTGGGGGGCTGAGGGCACCTGCAGGGGAGGGGCTGAGAGGTGCAGAGTGCCAGGGGGAGTTGTGAGGGGCAGTTGTGTGATGGGCGCCAGGTCCTCATGGACAGTGTGAGGGGTGCCAGGTACCTACAGAGTGTGAGAGGTATAAGGGGTGCCAGATACCCACAGAGAATGTGAGGAGCGTGTGTGAGAGGATGACTGGTGCCCACAGAGAGTGTGAGGGGTGTGTGGGGGATGACAGGTACCCACAAAGACTCTGAGGGGTGTGTGGGGGATGACAGGTACCCACAGAGAGTGTGAGGGGTTTGTGGGGCAGGATGACAGGTGCCCACAGAGACTGAGGGGTGTGTGGGGGATGACAGGTGCCCACAGAGAGCGTGAGGGGTGTGTGGGGGATGACAGGTGCCCACAGAGAGTGTGAGGGGTGTGTGGGGATGACAGGTGCCCACAGAGAGTGTGAGGGGTATGTGGGGGATGACAGGTACCCACAGAGAGTGTGAGGGGTATGTGGGGGATGACAGGTACCCACAGAGAGTGTGAGGGGTATGTGGGGGATGACAAGTACCCACAGAGAGTGTGAGGGGTGTGTGGGGGATGACAGGTGCCCACAGAGAGTGTGAGGGGTGCCAGGCCCCCACGGACAGCGTGAAGGATGTGGAGAGGAGGGTCCCGGACCCCCACGGCGGGTGTGAGGGGTGCGTGTGGGGCACCAGCCGCCCAAGGGGAGGATGCCAGGCCCCGGCAGAGGCTCCGGCGGGGCAGCGCAGCAGCCGCAGCCCGCGGCATCAGCACTTACTGTCCTGCGCGGCGAG